ATTGTTGAACATCACGCCACGATGAAACGAATGATACGCGCTGCCCGACCCCATTATCGGGTTTGGGAGGAAGAGGAAGCCCTCATTCAGAGCATCAACATTTCGCGCCCTAATAAAAGGGGCTTAGAGCAACCCGTTAAATCCCCAGCAACAACTTGAACCTGCAATAGTCCACATGATGTGTGATCTTCGCGAGCACGCAAGAATATTGATGGGGAAGCAGGAACTCTGCAAGTGGAGTTGAACCGGTGGAGAGGCAGTGTGTGCAGTGTCCAACTTGTTGCCCGTTTGTTTGTCCCTGCTTGGACCCCTGGCTCCTGGACCTACATATCTTGGCCCAATACGTTTCGAACTTCGAACGCTGCTACGACGGCCTGACGACGGCGGCTACTAGAAACTCAACACTATGACAACTGCTGCTCCTGCTGCTGCTCCCTGCTCCCTGCTCCCTGCTCCCTGCTCCTGCTCCTGCTCCTGCTGCTGCAGCTGCCGCTGCCACTGCTACTGCTGCCGCTTCTGCTTCGCTTCGGCTTCGGCTTCTGCTTTTTCATCTTTTTCTGCTACTACTGCCACTACTGCACCCCCACTACCCACTAACCAAAGCCATTCCGCTACTACTGCCACTGCCGCTCACTATCACTACCACCGCGCCACCAGTATCGATACCACTACCAGTATTGCGACGACGCTTACAAATACAACTACGGCTACGACGACGACTACTACTATTAGTACTACTCGTTCAACAACACTACTGCTGCTGCTACTACTACTACTACTTCTACTTCGTCTTCTACTCCTACAGCTACTGCTAGTGGCTGATTCGGAATCACGCTCACGACAGGTTTTCGAGACGGAAAGGGGCACATGGTTGGCCGGAACTGCCTTTGTTTTCCAGGGTTTCAGCCGAACATCAACAGCCACCTCGCAGACGGGTTATTTGCCAAGGAGTGCTGAAGACAAGAAAACTGTTGCCATCCACGAGTCGGGCCATGCCGTGGCAGGTGCCGACAACGCATACCAGAATGAGAAAGACGGAGACATTTGCATGTCTTTGTGCACCTGTCAGGCTGGTTCCTGGAGCACGCAGATCCCCTTCTGAAAGTCTCTATTCAGCCGCGCTCCAGTGGCGCGCTGGGCTTTGCGCAGTACCTGCCTGCGGAGTTCAGCCTCTACTCCAAGGACCCGCTGCGCATGCTTTCGCAGAGTGTAGGTGCCTCAAGCAGCTTGACTCAAGCACAAGACAGGAAGCGATCCTGGACAAAATCGAACCTTGGCTTGTAAGTCGCACCTCGCACAGCACAAGGTGCCGCCCGACCTACTACATGGGGCTGGTGTATCTAGTGCAAACCGCAAAAAAGAGGTTCTGAGCTGCATACCACAGATGGCGACGTTGCCGAGAACAACACAACTTGTTTTTTCTAAGCTCCAGCATTGCCGTCGGTTCGATTGTTACGTCTACTACTACTGCTGCTGCTGCTCTTTGACGAGGGAGGGCGACGAAAAGCAGCCACGCAAGAATTTGTTGTGACAGTTAATTACACTCGTACCTAGCATAATTAACATATTTTCACCTCAACGTCGGTGTTGGGGTTCTGTCCTTTGGTTTCGGTGAGCTGATAATGGGCCTGTATAAGGGTGTTTTGATCGTAATGGTTGCTGACCCCAACTCGACGTTTTGAAGTAATACGATATGGATCTAGTTCAATCCTCGCCTGTCCAATGGATGTACCAAATCCATGCTGGTCTACTGCCGAGGCGTAAGGAAGGGAGATCTTGCTGGGTTGGTGGCCATTTGTTAAATTTGTGCTGAGCCTTTGATGAGGGTTCTTCCTACCTGGTTGTTGCTTGTTATTGAAACAGATCCCATCGAAGGCCTCTCAAACCCTTGAAACTAGGAGCTGTAGTGAACTTGACGGAAAGTAGCCTGTGAAAATGTGATCAGATCAATGAAGCCCTGGAGTCCTGTCCTGTCGTGGCTCTACCATTGTTGTTTGGGTTGTTACTTCCTGATCTGGGGCTTCATTGTGACGAGTTACCAGTGTCCACGTGGAGCTGTCATTGACGTGCCGTGTGGGTGACAAGAACTACCGCTACTGCTGCTACTACTACTACTACTACTACGACTACTACTACAACAACGACTACTACGACGACGACTGCTACGACCACTACCACTACCGCTACAACTCTACCCCACCCGTACCCCTGCCCCAACCACTGCAACTACTACCACCGCTGCTAAACTAGTACAAACCCCACTGCAACCGCCACTCGTACCAGCAGAAGCAGTGGTAGTCGTCGTCCTGGTGGTAGTGAGGATAGCAGTAGCAGTAGCAAGTATCAGTAGAAGTCGCAGTAGCAGTAGCAGTAGTAGTCGTCGTTGCAGCAGTAGTAGCAGTTGTATTGGCAGTGGTGGTCGTGGTAGTCAGGTAGTGGTAGTGGTAGTGGTGCGCTGTTTCACCACTGCCACTACCGCTACCACTGCGACGACAACGGCGGCGGCGGAGACTTTGACAGGGCCGCTACTGCTGCTGCTGCAGCCTGCCGCTGCTCTTTCTGCTGACATCTGCTGACCATAGCTGTGACAGCATGATGCTCTGTTGTTCTTGTTGGTACAACCTTTGTTGTAAGAACAAGGTCCGGGCACTGAGTTTCGTCTCGTCTTTGCCACGCTGACACTGACCGATTTGAGGCGGTGTCGCTGGGCGGAAGAGCGGCAGAGGAGCTCTTTGTGGGAAAGATATCCACTGGTGCCTCCGACGACTTGGACAAGGCGATGCATCTGCGTTGGTCCGTACCAACTGAAAAAGCTGTGTGCCTCTTTTACGTGCTACAGGTCACGAAGATGGCGCATGTGCTTTGGCTTTCAAACTCGATATGGTACAACACCTCCGAGTTGTTCAAGGTTGTTTTCATCGGATGTTATGGGGCAGGCAGGTAAGACAGGCTGCTGATTTGAAGCTTGAAGGCAAGGTGTGGCGAACGCAGAAAATGCAATTTTCCCACGAAGAGCACTGGAAGGCGTGCCATCCATCCTTACGGTAAGCTGAGAAATGTAACTCCGCAGTAGATAGCCGAGGCGATGGTGGCAGTCTATGGCATGTCCGATAAGATTGGATTGCTGAACTTCGGCCAGAACGATGCAAGCAATCAGTTCTACAAGCCCTACAGCTACTGGGCGCCAATCTTGGCACATGTGGCAAGCCGAACTGACGTTCGTATGCTGTGGGTTTTCTGCAGGCGAAGCCACTGGCCAGATGATCGACAAAGAGACGCGAGATGTAGTGGATCAGCAGTACGAGAGGGTGAAGAAGCTGCTGCTCCAGCACCAGGAACAGCCCATGCTGTGTGGCGCGAGTACACTTGTGATACTTTCATGTGCGCGATGCACAAAGCGAACGAACGAAGATGGGTGCTGGCGAGCGTAGCATAGAGTTGGTCTTCCTTCAGCCGTCCTGAAATGCTAAAGGCTCACAGAGCAAGGCTCCATGCTGCACGTATCTCCAGCATCTGCTTGCAGGAGAAGCTTCTCTCGCTCACCGACAGCAGCTTCTCTGCACCAGACATGACACCCAAGCGACGCTTTGGAAAGCCACACGGCCTGGTTGCGACAAGGACTAAATGCCAAGGAGACCCTGGTGTACAATGAGCTAGTCGAGGCTCGCAAATGGGTCCAACTTCTGCTGAAGCCTATAAAGATGTACATGCCTTCAGTATCCTCAGCTCCGCAGTAGTGACACCAAGCAGAGAGGATTCGCTGTTAGAAAGCATGGCCCCTCAAGGTCTTGGGTGAGCGGCCCTATGAGATGAAGCAACTAGTCGTGACTATGGGCAAGCGAACATATCATCTGTGCACCTACTTCGGTTGCCTCTGGAGTGTTTGGAGCATCTTTCCGCGCATCATCGTCTCATGAACTGAGGAAGGAAATCAGCGGCTTCGTGACGGCAGGAGCCAACCCCTTCGCCGCAGAAGCTGAGGAGAAGGCTGCAGAAGGCGCTCTTGCAAATCAGCATAACATCTCGCTTGTGCACCTTCGAGGGCACGCATATGCGCGCGGGAGCAGGGTGCAGAGTGCAAGGGAGTAGTCTCGGTGAGCGTCTTCAGGCCCTCCGGACAGCGATGGACCGGCACCTGGACTACAGCCCGAGCCAGCGTGAGCTCACATTTGCTTCAGCACCTCAAGGGTTTCTTAATCGCCCCTAAGATTAACGTACAGCGCGCCGTGCCGCGCCGTCTCGAAGTAGACGTTTGCTACAAATGCGACCCAGAACTGAAGATATTTCCCGAGGAAGAGCGGTCGTCAATCGTTGATTCCTTTTGGTATGGAAAGATGCCTCCGGTGAGAAATCTTCAGTCCTGCCTGTGCGTATTTACATGAGCTTGAGTAGAGAGGAACCGATCGTAGGTGGCCAGCGAAGGCCTAGAAAAGCTTCACAGCTGGGCAAGTTGAGGAAACCAGATCAAGCTCAGAAGTCTTGGGGCTCCAGACTTCCAGCCCCGGCCCCGGTGCAAAATGCACATCCGGTGGTTCTGAGGGAGGGAGCTCAAGGCCTTGATTTTCTGCAGCTCCAAGCCTTGCTTTGCTGCATCGGTCTCTTGTGGGCCGGCTCGGATATGCTACTCGTATGTTACAGTGACTGCAGAAGCAACGCTCGGCGCTGGCATCCAAACCCCAAACCCTTGCGTGCTAGCAGAATGCTAGACGCTAGAGCGCATTGTTGCTTTGGGTACATTGGGCATGGTGAAGCACCATGCCGAACTACCGCTGTGAGATCTCCCAATGCCTGCAGTAGTACAACTCAGAATCGCACCAGCAAAGAGAAAGTCATCGTGCTGGCTCGGGAGACGTTCAGCGGGATGCCAGTGGTACAGAGGCCCCATGGACGTGAAGAAATCGTGGCTAAGACGCTGTTGAATGTTTGGGCATCAAGCGCTCTTGCTGCAACTCCTCGTGCTGGCCCAACTAACCCAGGGTGGATTTGCAAAGCTGCGTGAGGTGCTGGAGTCAGAGGAAATTCTCAGTAATTGCGTTGGCCTCGGAGCATCCCGTGGGATGAATGCAGCTTGGTATTGCGATTTCGCAAAGTAGCTTGACATGGCTTATGTTCGGGCAGGTCCCCTGGAGGAAGCAGCGCATGGTAGGCACGATGCAGACGTGGCTTCGGTGTTCTGCGACGCATCGAAGCAACCAGCCAGTCTGATGCCTCTGCTACACGCTTTGGTAGCAGATCGCTTGGAGGTCAGCATGCCTTACATGCAGCCTGGATGCAATTCTTGGATTTCGATTACAGGATGCCGTCACCGTCAATTTCGCCGTCTACACCCTCAGTTTAGCTGCCGGGATCCTTGGGCAGTCCGTGCGGTGTCTGGGTCGTGCAACCCGCTGCAAAGGACTGGCTTGGTTGCTCTGACTCCACTATGGAGGCTGTTTCCTGTCCTTGTCGGAAGTGTTGTTATCATCCCTTTTCCTCCCTCTTGTTTGGTTGTCAGGTTGTCGGAGCACAGGGTATGTTGCGGATCTGCCGTAAGCTTCGCTTGAGAAAGAACGCCTGTCGCGCTTCAACGCCAGGGCTTGGCATCTGCTGCAGCGCAGCACAGCGCAGAGGCCGCAAACAAAGTATGAGTGAAGCCACACGAGACACATGCTGGGCCGTGTGTTGGCAAGCAGCTCCTGTCTTCTTGAAGCACAACCCGTACTGTTTGTAAACTATTGCCGATCGAGACGCAGCTAGCTTCTTGTCAGCAGGCCGATTCATGCTCTTTTCCCCTCTTGGCTTTTCACGGTAGACGATTCTTCGGACGGGACCTGCGGTCCCCACGAAATCCTGCTCAGATGCCCCTGATGATCCAAGCCGTGCTGAAAGCAGATGAGGCGTGGTGACAGCTCGTGGATCTGTTTAAGATGTGCGAGTTTCCGAAAATTAGGGGTACCTCATTCGGGGGTCCTTTAAATAAGGATCCTACTAATTGGGGTACTATATTGGGCCCCCCGATTGTCGGAAACTCCCATGTTGATGCTTGCAAAGGCGAGCAAAAGCCTGGAGTGGGCCTAGATCTCAGCCAAGGTGGACCCAGATGCGACGTTGCCTTGGGTCGGTTAGCAGTTCCTTGCTTCACAAGTTTGCCGTGATCGTCGCGCACCGAAGCCGGTGCTGTGCTTTCTGTAGTTACATGTTGCGGCCAAGGTTCTAAAACGAGGACTCCTCCTCCGCGATGCAAGAGGCATTGAGGTGACCGACTGCTGGTGCATGAACACAGCGATTTTTGTTGTAATCACTGGCTGTCCCTGCGTATTCGCATCCGCACGCCTGGAGATGCATCCTGGAGGCTTTGGCTACCCATGCTGCCAAAGAGATTTGGCGGAATCTTTGCGGGCCTGGTGGCGTTGTGTCGCGTGTCAAGTTCGTAATACGCAGTTCTGGCGATCGGCGCAGGCGAGCAGTTCTCCAGAGTCTGTCTCGCCCATAGAGCTCCGGAGTTCTGTGCTGCTGTGAAGTTATCTCGTATCACCAAGCATGGTGCCGGGGGAAATGTCTTGCGAGGCTCAATCTCGCAAGCCAAGATCCCGACGGGCTCAGGCACTGGCATGCCTTGCAGCCTGGGGGCATAAACGGCTACTATTAATTACCTGTACTATTTTGGAGGGTTCCTTATAATAGTTTGCGTGTAAGGGGCCCCAAAACCCTATTCTGATTATTAAGGCCCCTATATTAGCACACTTTTCGCCGGCTCTTCCTTTCGGCAGGCTCAGCCCCGCAGCTCACGCTGCCATCGTCCTGGGCATCCCTCCGCGGGAGGCAAAAATGGTTGTCAGTCTGTCACGAGGATTCATGTAACGGTTGTAGAAAGTTTGAGAGACAGGAGACAAGTGTTCAAAACAAGGCAAGCTATAATGGTTGAAAGGGACAGAACATTTTGCAACAGGATCAACAGCCGAGAAAGACGAGAAAACACAGTCGAAGGGACCAGAACATACGACGAACAGTTTTTAACCCGTTCCAAAGATTCGACAGAAGCAGGATCACTCCAGTTTAGAAGAACGGAGATACACGTGCAACAGTCTAGACAAGTTGACCATGAGGAACTCTGTGGAGAAAGAGGGGCGCTAAGGAGCGCAGTAACAAACCGCTCGGAAGGGACTAGAGAAAGAAGAGAACATCGGAACCACGAGCATATCAGTGGAAAGCGGAACAGACAATTTCAGAAACAACATCAGACCGGTGGAACAAGACAAGAACTTGACAAAGAGAAGAGCCTAACCCTTAGGGTTTAGGGTTTAGGGATTAGAATCACGAGACAACTGCTCGTAGACAACCTCTCGATTTCAAAGTGTGGGAAACAGGACCAAACCACTCGAACGAGACTAGGGAACTTTGACAGAAGTTTGTCTTCTAGTGTCTTGCCTTGCCTCCATTCCTTTGGGACCGGTGAGGGTGTCGTTGGGACGAGTCGGGGTTGCCAACATCGGCGCTTGTCCACCTTGAATTTGCAAACGGTGTGGGGTTGGCCAATGCCGGGATGTCGACGCTTGCCTCCCCTTATCTCCCCTCCGTCCCCAAACAGTTTACTGCAGGGGTGCAGATTGCTCTGGGGGGGTTCTTGTTACTTCCCAAAGTTGCTGTGGGGACTCTCTGTTCATCCCCCAAAACGTTTGCTTAGGGGAGTCCTTTCAATCTGAAGCACAATGCCGACGTTTGCGTTGGTGTCCGGCGACAAACTTCTTGCATCATCGCGCCCCTGATTGTCGCCCTTGTCTCCCATGCCGGGGTGTTATGAATGTCCCCCTTGCCATCCTTGCCGTGCATTTTGTGCTGTGGGTGGGTAGCTGATGCCAGGGTTTCGACGGTCCCCCGCTGTCGCGTTTCATATGTACACATGTGGACTCGAAGTCATCGGGGCAGATCGTGGTATAGTAGCCTTGCGAGCAGGTCCATTCCGCCCCGGCCTCGATGTGCATTGGAGCCAACATGCGAGCCGCCGCCGTGACGCGGTGACACGACACAATGATTTCTCCTTACGTTTCCCAGGTATTGCCATCGAAGCTCCGCTTCGGCGACTTGGCTTGCAGCTTTGCAGCGGGATCGGGTTGAGAATGCTGGAGTGCGTGCACAAATGTCGGTCCTGTCTACCGAGGGCCCAGCGCTGAAAGCCTTTTCCTCGACTTCAGAAAGAAGGGCCGGGCACCAAGCACTCTCAGTGAAAGGCCTGATAGTGCTTCAAACACCAGCTGAGCCCGAGCCCCGAGCCGACCGAGCCGAGGTATCGGACCCGAAGGAGCAGCACGGCACGGAGCCCCGGAGCCCCGGAGCCTCAGAGCCTCGGCCCACAGCTCCGCAGCTCCGCCGTGCGCGGTGCCCGGAGGTTGGAGTTTCCAAGCCGGCTCAAAGAGCTTGACCTGGACTTAACCCGTCGGCAGACCTGGTATCATCCCGCTCGTCGCTCCGGCATTCTGCTTGCCAACGTTCCCCGCGTGATGCGGCTCCCAGCTTTCCCGTCATGCAGCAGCTCACAAACAACCATGTTCAACCTCCAATCCTCGAGACTTTGAGCTAGCTGCCGGCATGAGATGGTACAAAGTCTGAGCAAAGGCTTTCCAGAAGGTGCCAGTTGCTTTCAGCCTGAGATGCCTCGGAGAGTATGGGAAGTAACCGGTGGCGAGCAAGCGGGCGGCCTCGTCGTTCGAAGCGGCGACGCTTGGCGAAATGAACCCACTCGGCTCGCTCTGAACATCCTTATTATAAGGACCCTAAAATAAAGTACCCCGAACTTTTCGGAAACTCCCCCCCACATACTACCCCTTATAGTGATGGTGCTTGTGCCCGGCCTGCGCTTTAAGCTCCGTCAGGTGGAGCTCTCCTCCCCGAAAGTGGAGGGCAGGCTGTCGACAGGAGCCCGAGCCGAGCGGAGCGGAGCGACAGAGAGCGCCAGAGAGCATTCAGAGCTTCTCAACGGACTCGGGGGCTGCAGGCGCCACGGTGGAAGAGGTGGACTTGCAGCGCGAGCGGTTGCACTACAAGCGGCTCACAGGGGCCGGGCCCGCTGAGGGCTGGGTGTCTCTGAAGCTCAAGGCCGGGATGGTCCCGGACCGGGAAAGAACGTATATAATATACTATAATGCAATATAATTTAATAGACATATATTGTGTTCACATATATATATACACACATATCATGTAGTCTTCGCAAGGAAAGCTCAGGAGGGATTTAAGGGTAGATGCATGCACAGGACAAGCCGCTCTTGCAACCTCGGCCTCAGGACCGGACCCCTCCGTTCAGCCATGCTTGTTTCCTTTACGTGGTGAGATACGGCTTGAGGCGGCTTAGCTTGTGAGGACTCGGCTCTAGCTGGCCGGGATCAAGACCTCGCCAGCCTTTTCGGCCCTCTGGCTGGTGCCGAGATTGAGACCATCTCGCTTTCGCCGGACGTGCGACTCCGTGTTTCCACGAAGCTCGGCAAGAAACGACTTGACCAGGGAATCAAGAACGTAGCTGACTTGTGCTGATACAGTACTGCCTTGAATGTTATCCCATCTTCGCCGGGAGCAGCATCGCTTCCAAGTTTGAGGATCAGCGACATCCACGTGGATCAAAAGCAGAACATGGAGTGGTTTCGGAAGAATCTGCCTCAAAAGTCCCCGGACCAGTTCAAAGTGCTCATCTTGCCTGGAGTCTTGGCCCAAATCTTTCTGACGAATGGCGGCCTTAAGTTTCAAGATCGGAGAGGGAGTTTGGAAGAGTGACGGAAACCTAGGCGCAGTTTCAGAAGCTCGTAGAAAGGGGCTCCGGGCCAGGGATGTGGGGGGTGCGACAGCTACCGGTCATGTCATAGGGGGTACTTGAAGCACGAGCGGCAGACCCGGCAGACGTCGTCTGGGCGCAACCAAGGCGATGTCGCCGATGATATGGCCGTGCTTCGAAAGACCTTCGAGATGCTCACTGCACCCCCGTTCGAATTGGAGTGAGAGAAAGATGTCAGAACCGAGTTGTCGGTTGGCGCAGACATGTTGAAGAGCAGTCTCCTTCAGGGCAGCATGCTACAAGCAGGTTGAGCATGCTTCCAACATAGGAGATTTGTACAGATCGGCGCAGCAAGAACCAGAAGCTGCTGCTGCCGACTTGAGGCCAGCTTTGATATGGTGTGCTACACAGCCGGTAACCACGACTTGTGGGTGAGGCAGGCAGTGACCAAGCAGTTCACCCCAGTGCGATCGATCCGAACCGCCTCAGGCGCGCCGGGAGCGCCCAAGACTCACTGGAAAAGCTACGCGAGATTTGTCACCTCTGCAACTCCTTGGGAGTGCGTGTGCGGCCGGTAAAGTTCAGCCTGCCCAACGCGAGGGACGTGTTGCCACCGGGCACTGACTGGTTGGACTCCATGCTGTAGCTTCCTCGATCATGACCCACCAGACTTCCCCAAGTGGACGTACGAAGCCCAGGGGCCCCCGGCAAGGTTGGTGCCGCTGCTGTCCTTCTATGCATCCTGCTGGGATCAAGATCCCGACCTAGATTGGTGCCCACCGGAGCAGCTGCTGGGAGCATAAAACTTCAAAGTTCTTCAGGTGCGTCTATGCACAGTTCCTGCCAGTGCAGCTACAGTGCCAATCCTTAGAAAGTGATGTCGAGATTCAGAGTTTCTGGAGCAAAGTCTCTGCTGACATGGTGGCTGTGTGCAAGGAAAGCGATGCTCGGTTGGATGGACTTTCGGCTCGTCAAGTGGCCACAACTGCTGATAGACGAAGTTGTCCTGAGGGAGGGCGACTTCAGATTTGGAAAAGATGGGACCTCTACGGCGATTAGTGTCGCTTGACCCGCGTGAGCATTAACCGTGCACGTCTTCTGCTAGTGACTTCCAGCTGTCCTGCTACTATGATCGCCGAGCTGTGCAAGTGCTGTTGCTCCAAAATCTCAGGAAATCTTCGCAGAAATGAACCAGCCACTGCTGGAAGCGATCGAAGCCATGAAGCAAAACGAGAGCGGTGACAGCGATACTGTTGTCATATCCTTTTCGCATTATTTGCCCAGACAGGCGAGACTGTAGTCCACAAGTGCTAAAATCCAGTAGCAAACTTGCACAACTGATTCTGCGAAAAGAAGATTGCCAGTCGGTAGAGGAGCTTTTCCCCGAGAAGCGCTTCTTGGTGGATTCCACATTGGCAAAGGCCAGGCTGGTTTATGCTTTTGCCTTGCCGTGTGTTCAAGGAATTTGCTGAGAAGGTCTCCGGCTCTTTTGCGCTGGAGCGTCAAGTCCGGCAATTGCGGCCGGAACTTCACATCTTCGGGCATTCGCATCTCACGGTCGACAACGTAGTAGAGGGCCAGCGCTATCTCCAGTGGGCCCTGGGCTATGCCAACGAGCAGAAGGGAATGTCCAGAGCTGTCGGCGACACGGGCATCTTGGTTGTGTCTCTTGACCTCCAGTAGTCCTGGTCGTCCTTGCAAGCTCACTGTGATTTTCCTGACTTCCATTATCTTTGTGCCGTCGAAAGGTTCGATTCTGGTGGAAAGCCAGATGTGGCTCCCATCCAAGAAACTTTTTGGGGAAGGTATTTTGCCAAAGGCCTGCGAGATACTTCTCAGACTTGCCCCCATCCGATGGTGCGCGGCATGTTCGCGAAGCTTTTCAGCGAAACGAAGCCTTCGCCTGAGCCCAGCGTTGTGTTTGCATCTGTGTTCGTAGCATATAGAGGAAGGGAAGGGAGACTAGCTGACTAGCTTGCAAAGGCTACCATATGATGACGAGTACTACTGGTCCACGCCGAACCCTGGCCCTGCGATCCCGACCTACGACGGGCTTTACGATCCAGCATGGCGGATTTGAGAGGTGGAAAAAGAGACCTTTCAGGCTAGCTGCCGCATGAAGTCGCGTGCCTTCTGTACTGTGACGGTTGTGTAGGCAATGCAGTCGCGGATGCCAGCCTGGAAGACGAAACAGCGCAACAGGAAAGAGATAGTTACGATAGTAATGTAGCCCGCAGCTTGCCACAACGTGACTCCGTAGAATCGTAGAGCTACCGCCCAGTGCAAGGTTGCGGCATCCGAGCTGTAGGAGCGGCTGGGCTGCGGCTGCCAGGGACTCTGGTGAGGTCCGGAGCAGTGTGAACAGCGCCGTAGCACTTGATGGTTCAACGCCACGGAACCTTCCGCCGTGGTCGCAGAAAAACAGGTTGCGCCTCATCTTGCAGAAGTGTGACATCGGGCCCGAAGGAGCCAAGGCCCAGCTTGCGAGGCGCCAGAAGAGGCAAAGAGTGCTTGTCATCGTCGTCGCAGGCATTGGTCCTGCCTCCGACTTTGGAGCGCTTGGAGCTGGACCTCTCGCATCTACCTCGGTAAAAGGGCACGCTGAAGAGCCTCGCAGCGCTCGGGGTCTGAGTCTGTCGGAAGTCAGATGAAACTTTGGATCTTCCCAGGCATTGTCTCATCGGTCCGCTTGGAGCTTCCAATCTTCAGGCCAGGCAGGAACCGCAGTTCGCAGCTCAGTGACAGTTCTGCTGAGATACCACGGGGACTGGCTGAGCTGGACCTCAGCCTGCTGCGCTGTGGCGTGGGAGATCGTGGTGCCAAGGCGCTTCCCGGTGATGTGTCTCAGTGTCGCGGCTTCGGAGTGCGTGACTAGCAGGAGCAGACCTACCAGGGCCAAATGATGCTGTAGTCTTGCTGTGACATCGTCCGCAGCCGTGAAGGCATTCAAAACATAGAGAGATTTAGTGCGTCAGCTGGGCCGCCACCTCGAGGCCAGACGAGACGGCAAGAAGAGAGTGTGAGAGCTATGAGAGTGTGCTGCCGAACCATTCCCAACGCGTGGCCATTCGTCATACGTCTGCCACCATCCAGCCCAAACTCCCTGATCTGACTCTCGCGCAGCTCGCGTCTCCGAGGCAATGCAGCCGCCCTGGCTGAGACGCTTTGCAAGCAAGCTCCAACTTCGATAGCTTTGACATTCAGTCAGCTCCGACATGTGCCAAGGTGGCTATGCAGTGGCGCTCTGCTGGACACTGGCGGCCGGCGCTGGCGGCGATGCCACTGGCAACAACACCGCTTGCGATACCGTGCTTTAGCTCGCTCTGGACGATCATGTTTTCATTGTTTTTATCATCTTATCTTCATAGCTTTCCAGGCATGTTAGCCACGCTAGTCTGGCCACCGAGAGATCAAAGCATGGATGGTGCTTGTCAAGCACGGGTCTCTGTTTACGTTTCCAACGGGTTCTGCAGCTCCACAAGCATGGTTTGCGATGCAGCATAGTTTTCCAAAATTTCAAAGATGCTGGTCAGAGAAGCCGACCGGCAAGTCTCCGTCCCAAACCTAGCAAACAAATCGGACTTTCAGAACGATGTATTTATGCAACGGCTGATGTAACGGTACTTAAACAGCGAGAGGCCGCCGGAAGGATGGTTTGCAGCTTGAAGCGTGCAAGTTTGCATTTCTGCCTGCTGACCTAGTTTATGCTGCATATTCAGGACCATCATACATGGTGGAACCCTGACGAACCCTGGGAGCCTATACCGCATTACTATGCCAGATGCTCGTCAAGACGAAACAGGTGCTTGCTGCAGAATCGGCACCTGCGCCCCAAGGAATTCGAGCATTTCGAAGAAGTTACCGTGGTTGCACTTGTTGGACTCACATTGCTGCTTGGCCCCAGCGCACGAGGCAGCTTCGATGGGTTTCAGAGGAGATGACAAGCATGTCAGTAGTCAGTAGCCGCCGAGGCTTGTTGATGCGATCGAGCACAAGCTAGACCACTTGGCCGAGCATTCACCCGCCACTCCCTTACGGCGAGTTTCATGGAGCCACCGAAACTGCAGTGATGGAGTTGCATTCTCGATGTCTTCAGGCATACGAGGAGGCATGCAAGCATGGGCGGAAGGAGACAGTGTTGCCAGTGTTGAGATATGATGAAAAAGAATTTTTCCGTTTGTCCGAGGAGGTGGCAGCACATGATCTTGAGAAGAAGAGTATGGAGCCCGTCTGGGGAGTTTTTCTGAATCGTGCGACGGCGGAGTTCACCGTGCTGGGCATTCTAGATCCTAGGTTGCAGATGAAGAGCCCATCAGAAAGCGTGACCATGTTCACGATGGAAATTTGTAAGTTACGTGAAACGGCGTTTCCTTTCGGTTTCCGGCTGGGTCTCCAGTCGGTTTGATTCAACTGGATAGTGATACCGGGGATGGAGGAGTGGGGGCACTCTGGAGTTGGAGGTTTGAAATATGCTTCGGTTTGCGACGGTTCGGTTTTGCGAACCGGTTCAGTGGTTCTCCGTTCCCGTTCGGTTCTGGCTTGCAGTTTGGCTTGTGGCTGTATTAAGCTACCTTGGGCGAGATTTCCACTTGCTGCCTCACACCACAACCAAGCACTTTGGCAGGCTTGTCCATCCAACATGCATTGAGCCTATGCCGACAATCGACACCAACAGTCGGATGTCTTCGCGTTTCCTGAGATGGTAGGGGTGACGGAGTTGCAGACTTACGAAGACAGGCTCCGGGGTGTTGATGGCCGCAGGGAGATACGCAGATGTCGGCGGATGCACGAACTCCTTGTCGCAATCAAAGAGGCGGCAGACGCTGTGGGAAATCTCTTGTTGGCTTAATCGATCAAAGCGAAGCCCAGATTCCACGAAGATCGAGATCGTGTCTTGTCACTCCACCAGCACAATCATGGTATCCAGTTGCGGGCTCCACTTGACAAGCCCTCATCTTACGTTTGTATGACCAGGATGTCCACAAAGAGAAGATGGCTACACAATCAGGAATCCTATTTATGTGTTTGTCGATTGGCACTCAAACTTGGCAGGAGAATAGACATCAACATGCGTCAACATTACTTCGGGGAGTTTGAAGCTATTGATGTTATGTAGACTTTGCCGCTTGAGCCCAGAATCCGGCTCGAACCTGTGGCACCTGATCGTTCTCCATGAGTGGATCGGTTGTCGGGGCATTTGGGGCTCTGGCCGTTCGGGCATCCGTTGGGCATGCGTTCGCAGATGGCAGCCGCGATGTCTCAGTGTCGTTGAGTTAACTTGAGGCTTTCGTGCTCTGGCTCTGCAACTCCCTGGGGGCCTTCACTGCCATTGAGCTGGCATTCGACCACGTGCAGGAGTTTGCTCTTCCTACGACTGCAGAGGAGTATCGGCACACCACGGAGAATGTTCATATGAGACTGTGCAGAAGTGGCATGCTTTTTCCGTAAACTGTATGGTGGCATAGGTGATATATACGGCCCGGCTAGAGGTGGCTGATGCACACTACATTCGGTCTCTAGAGCAAAGGTGTCCGCCATCTTAGCGGCAGTGCATGCCTTGCACACATGCGCACCAGTGTCGCCGATACAATGCAGGTCCCGTTTTTTTGCGATTCATCCTTGCTAGCTGAAGGCACTTATTCATGACCTTCTTCCTTTACTACGTCATCGTCGGCTTGAGTTTGGTGAGGTCGCAGCATAATATGGCATCCTGGGCGGTGGCTCAGCACGGTACAGGCAGCTGTAGGGCAGGGAGGGGTGAGGTGCCGGTTTTCACCGTCGTTTTGCATGCAATGCAAGTGGTATGTGTTGTCTCGCGAAGATGGGCTTCACCGCCTTCCTCTTATGGTTTGATTCCGGACTGGGCTTAGCATGTGTCTTTTGGAGGGATTCTGTACAAGTCTCCTTCCCCTCACATCGACCCGTAACGAGGTTGGCGATCTGAACCTAGACTTTAGATGCTGTTGCTTCCGAGGTCGTGTTGCGTTTGGCAGGCTGGTAAGAAGAGACTCAGCACTCAGGGAAGCGGGTGCATCTCTTGGTAGATTCAAGCACTGTGGCTACTTTGTCGCCTGGAGAAAGGAGGCGACCACGACCATGAATTGATGCAGGCAGAATCAAAACAAAGTCAGCATCGGCTGTACGCAGATTTCATTCACTGGATCTCAACCACTGAAGCCTCTTCTCCAGTTTTGATTCAGAAACCGACTCACCCCGTTGCTGGGAACATCGTTTAAGCCGACGGCGAGACAAACAAGGCACCCAATGTCTACTGCTCCATACTGCAGTGCCGCAGAAGTGACGATCTTTGTGTTGATGCTCGTTTCGGTTGCTGCGCTTGTGCTGTGTCAGCCAGCTGAGGCTTCGTCTTCAGCCTTCCACGACGAGAAGGGCAAGACCAAGCATGTCGTCGAGAAGGCTCGCACTCTGCTTGCATGTCAAGTCCCGTGGGGTGCTTTGTGCCCTGCTTGACAGATGACCCTCAAAGCGGCGCATTCGGATGCCCCCGTCGAGAAGGGGTCCGGTGACTTCATCCTCATGCGCTGCTCGCAAAGCAATGTGTCAAGATTCGACCAGACACGACGGTCAGCAGTCGCGAACATCGTAGGTTTGAAGGTGTTTGCGAGTGGTGCACGATCGGTGTCGTCAGATTCATTATATTTTGCCCGGTGCCCTGCTGAGTTGGCCTCTGCGAGCTTGCTGCACTGAGGTCAAACATTCCTGGAAGCGCTTCAGGCTTGGTCTGGCAAATGGGAATCTCGGCGTCAACAAGATCCAGCCATGTTTGGCATTTTAGTAGCGTATTGCAGAGCTGTCTTCGGCCAGGCGTTTTTTGACGAGACGCTGCTTGGCAGCGCTTTGGGAAGGGCCGGCATTTTCAACCGCAGCCTGTTGCCCGATCGACTTACTGAATCATTGCCATCGTCGCAAAATCAAGACGAAATCAACCTGTCACAATCTGCAATGTGTGCTGTCAACTTCAATGAGCGCTGACCCCTTTCGCAAATGCTTGATCGAGTCCGATTGCAAACTTCCAGCTTTGCGCGCCAACAGATGCTTCTGCGAAGGCTGGGCCATACCATCGGAAAGGTTGTGCCAGTAGAAGACGGAGGCCCGGCCGCCAGCGAAAAGCGTTTGAGTGTGCTTTGTGGTCACTTCTTGTGTTAGCCTGGAGGCATCGTAAAGTATCTGGAGCCGTGGTTTCCCTTCGGGCACTATCTTCTACTGAATTATCGCGCCTCAGCTGCCGTGATACGATGACAGACAGGTGCAGTCAAGATGCGTTGCGCGAGAAGATTGCTAGGCTTCTTGCTTGACCGTGTGGTGGTCATCCACCCGATGGCTCTGACATCAATGATCGTCATCAACGGCTGCTTGTATGGCATCCACCAGTTGCGACGGCACTGCCGCAAAGCTTCTTCTTGTGCACCGAATTGAGGCTTCCAAGCTATAATCCATCGTTTCTCGATGGATTTCGAGTTCCACTTTGTTTGGATCATTTTTTTCACGATCGAACCTCGGCTTCGAACAGCTGCGGCCTGCAATCTTGTTTGGCTTTGCCATCAAGTGTCCTGGAAGTCATGCGTTGTTCAGCTTGGCCCTTCCACTGAGATTACGGCGGTACTGTGGTTTGGGGCAGACAAGATGATTAAAGATCTGAAATCAGGCTCGCTCCTTCATGTGTGCTGCCACACGTAAGACGTCCTGCAGCTGCTACGCACGGCGTGAAATACAGCTGTGGCGCCCTGTGCTGAATCCGACTTCCAGGCCTCCCAATTGAGAGAAACATCCTGTCGAAACTCGTGCGAGGCAGCTACAATCATGGCAGACTGGCAGATCCAAGATTCTCATTCTTGCATCAGACCCTTTTCTGAAACTGTCGGTGTTTGCTACTTTCTTCAGGTAAAGCCAGGTGAGGAGAGTTTTGATTCAGGAAGCCAGTGTATCATTGCAAGCATTGCTAAGTTCGAAGCTGCCGATGTACCTTTGCCTCATCTTGCAAATCTGCATGGTCTACATTTGCTTCGAGCTTACTCGGCCACTGGCTTCTCGGCTTAGCATCGTGTTCTTGGCGCTGAGCCAAGAGCTCGCTTGCCTCAGTTGCGGACGACGCCTGTGAGGCTCATGACGCTGCCTGGCAAATAGACTACTGGCGATCAGTCGTCATGCGCTTAGTCGGAGATGTCTTGGCGCAATTCACAAGGTTCTCTTGCAGAAGCTAGTGCACTAGCGCATGGAGCGACGGGGGCCACAGCCTGCCATACTGAGTCCCACGTAATAACGTGCTTCACCATTATGCCTCTCTTTGGCTGGCTCGTGTGGGGATCCCAAGCCTGCATTTGGAGATGAAGTTTGGAGCCCGGCAAGGTTGAAGCCGACATTGTTGAATCCATTGCAGCTGGCATTACAAACGTACCGAGTCACGCTATCATGTATGGAAGCGCTGCGATAGAAGAACCCAGGAAATCTGCTGGCCCGGCTTGCTATGACCCTGTCCTGCGGCTTCATGATCTCCGAAGAGCAGCCCAACTACATGGTGTCGGGAGTTCTTACGAGACGGTTGTACTTGCAACAGTTCAGGGCTCCATGTGGATCTTGTGTAATTAGATGCGCAGTCGGTTGTGTGAGTAACTGTCGTTAGCTTCGCGGGTGCATTGTGTCTGAATGGTGCGAAGAAGGAGCGTGTGATGGCTTGCATGCCACTGAGGAACATTCTACGTATCCTGGCATCAATCTGGATCTGGGCGGTAACCGAAATAGACCTGTGGCTATAACTAAACTACAGAAATCCATCATTGTCTACAGCATCAGGCGCCCTGGCATGTGGCTCTGAAAGACCATTCTCTTGAACGCTGACCTGAGTGCACGAGGCATACAGGTCATGGTCGAGATGCACATGGAGAGTCGCTTGCTGCAAAGACTCGTTTCATGACATTCGCACAATTTCGATACGAGAAGGCTGTGTCTCCAGATAGTAGCGGCGGTTTTCCACTTTGCGAGGTGTCGGAAATCAAAAGAAGGAAGTTTCACATCAAGACGTCCAGACGGACGTGAGCCAGGCACGGAGCAAGCATTCCGAAGGGTCTTCACACGGCAGTCATGTATTCAACTTTCAGCATTGATGCCATGTCTCGGGTCTTGGAAGCTGACTTTTTGAGATTGGGTTGCGCAAGACGGATCTGCCATGCGAGGCCCACACCACGGTGGCACTGGATTCACTGTGACCGGTCGCAGCCGGAGGCTGCGACCCGGACTGAGCCCCATCCTTTTCAAAGTTTTTAGGACGCCTCTGGTAGCCTTGTGGCTGCCCGTCCAAAAGCCAAGCAGCCCCCGGACATCCGGACGTGGAAGGTCGGAGCATGGGCCCAAGTCCCAAGCGTTGACGAATTAAGCGACCAAGCTGCCTGAGTAAACACGGGCACTTTAGGTACTTTTTGCAAAGCACGTGCTGAACGAGGCACTACGACGGCTGCATTAATTTGTGCTTACCTGGTAGGTCCGTGGTTCATGTGTTAAGCAGGTTATGCTCAATGCAAGTCCTCAGATTGAGCGGACCCACCTTACATCCGCTTCCTCTATCACCATCCAACCAAAGAGGTGTGGACAGGAACTCGGTTCTTGGAAGCCCAGCGAGCCAGGAAGACTTCGCTGGCAAAGGCTAGATATTCAGAGCGTAGCTGTGTATGTCATCGCTTTAGCTCCCGTGGCCACACTCAGCTCAAGCTGTCACGGCCTGCGACTGGGAGTTTTGTGGCTGGCCGATTGTAACGTGTAGTGGCGTAATTAATGAGGTCAGACATGTGACGTACGAGGGTAGACCGATTGGGGCGCAGCAAGTACAAACAATCGGCACGGCTATTTGCACACACGTCCTGAGAATTTCAGGCTCTTCTGAACATGCCGGTCCGTTTTAGTGCGAACCAAACTTGCGACGGCAAAAAATTGATCCCAAGTGGCGGTTGTGAGGCTGAACTTGCTGTACTGTAATGCATCTTTGGACAGACAAACGTGGATCGTTGTGAGCAGTGATGCGACTTTGAAACCCTTTTTTTGCGAAGCTTGTGGTGCGAGGCGCTCAACCTGCTCGAACCTCGGACAGCTCAGTGCAACACTGCGGTGGCTTTGAGTTGGGTCCTAGAGGCCGGATAGCATCCGGAAGCTGCGCTTGGACTTGGCCCGCTGCGCCGGACACCCAGGTCCTGGCTTCGCTAAGTCCGAGCTGCCGCATTCACCGAGGAAATTGGCGCTGAGGGCCTCAAAGGCCCGCGGGCCCGTTCCTTTTGAAAGTTCACCGGGGGATGCTGCTTAAAACCTTCAACCAAATGCTGGATCGGAAACGTCCAGCAACTTGCGCATTCGTGAATGTCGGATTTCAAGAAAGCTGAAAAGGTGTGCAAGAGCTGTCAGAGGCATCGTCGCCACCGTCGTCGTGATATTTACCGTAGCGATTCACTGCGTTCGTGACCTGTAGGTTTTGAGGACATTTGTTGGCTTTTACTAATTTTTGAGTTGTCGCAGAGCCCAATGGGTTTTCTTCAAGACTATGCGACACACTGTGATTGCCTGCGAGTATTGGATGGGCATCCGTGCTTTGCGGCGACTTGGTTGAAAATTGCGATGATGGCGGACAGCGGGAATTGTCTTACGGCGAGCATGCATCAATCGATCTGTGTTTTGGAAACGGTGCGGGTGCGAGAAGCTCGGGTGTCGCTGAGACGTCTGACAGGGATCTCTGAGTATGCACAAGAGGGAGAGAGAGAGTCAAGCGTCATGCAGAGTTGTTTAGAAGTCAAGTGCCCGACTCCTTGGGGCCTTGCTGGCTGATATGCGGCCAGGCTCAGGCTAGTGAGAGGGACACGGTACCGTCATCAGGGGGTGGTACGCTTAAACTTCAGACGCGTTGGGGGTCATTGACTGTCATAGACATATAATCATACATTGCTGTTGCCGTGGCATTCCGGTGCGCGAGTCCTCTCCGGTCGTAGAATAAGTTTGCCGTTGATTTCCCAGTGTGCGGAATCGCCCTGGGGGGAGCCCCCAATCCTTCTGTCAGGACACATATCACAGTGAACTTTCACATCCTCCCAAAGCCTCAGAAAGCTGGGGGGGCCTGGTGGCCAGGGGACTGTACCCTATGCCCTGCGGAAGAAGTCTGTCGCCAACCCTGGCGAAAGAAAGAGAGAGAGAGAAAGAGAGAGAGCGAACAAGTTGCGTCAGGGCTTGCTTATGGTACAGCCTGTTGGAAGGGGGGAGTGTTGGCCTGCCATAGGTAACGCAGGAGTTGAGTGTCTGTCGTAGGGCTGAGGACCTAGCTTCAGAGAGCGCGGAGGTGAGGCCGGGAAGCAGGCCAATAAAATCGGGTCCTTGACAGACACAGCGCCGGCCATACCGGACGGGGGAATCTTCAAGCCCCAGTGCTCCTTCCACCCAACACAGGGGCAAGGGGGCGCCTAGAGGCACGGGCTCTTGCGAGCTCTACCCGTGTGAAGTGAAGTGAAGCGACCAAGAGCGACGGCGGCGCACACGCGATGACACTGACGAACTCGATGGCATGGGCACCTTGCAGATGCCCCTGAAGTTTCATAGGCTTTATATCGAGTAATGAAAGCGGGGCTCGTCGTCGCACGAACCGATCGCCTCTCATCGGGTTTTATGTAGGACAGGCGGAATCCGGAAGGCGCCGCGCTCTTGCAGGCCTGCGCCTGCCTGGGCGCCTGACCAGCCTGATGTTGGCGCGGCTCTCGGCTTTCCGATGTCGGCAGACTGGTATCTCCACACTCAATCTGAGCTGCTAGGATCTGACAATGTGTTCTGTTGGACCAGAGCAGCTCAAGGCTCCGAGTTCCGAGTAGGATCGGTAATAAGGCCCAGATTAGATGCTTCGCGCGCTATCCCGGACCGGAGGCGTTCATAGCAACCTTGCCGAAGACTTTAGAGGTGCGCATGTTGCGCTGCCCAGTGTCAGAGCCAGCATGTGCGAGCCTTTTCAATTTGCACTGATTTTTCTCTTCTTGCCAGGCCTTGGAGATGAGTTTGACCGGCTGCAAGGCACACTTTGGAAAATGAGCTTTTACCGGAGAACGGCAGTTCCGATTCCTGTAGCTACCCATGCTCACACAGGGCAGAGGGTGTTGCAGCCTGTCCGACAACGCTGGATCGATGTTTCGGGCAATGCGCATTGTGCAAGGTGAAAGCGGCTTCTGTCTCGATGCTCCAGCAGGCTAGGGCCTTGGAGACCGTACTGTTTGCATCCTGCCATCTGTCATATCTATGGAGAAGGAACGTGAGAAGCTAAAAGTCTCAACCCGGCATGATTCGTCTTCTTCTTGTTGATCGGAAGCATTACCGTCTGCCCAAAGAATGAGTCAGAATGGTTGAAGGTCTGCGCAGTTCGGGATGGCTTCTGCAATAATGCCACGTAACATGTTGCAATTCGCACACTGTCGGCCCGAACTTGGGCGCAAGGGTAATTCGCAAGGCAGCTGTTTCGATTCGAACGGGGTTGGAAGGGCCTCATTCAAGATGGAATGGGTTTAGGTTTGGGGGGGTCCGCATTAAAATTGTAGTATAAGGGGCCCCAAGGACCCTCTTCTATCTATTGAGCGCCCTATATTACTTATTATATTAAGGAGCCTACATTAATCATAATTAAGGACCCAATATTACAATTATTAAGGACCCTCTATTATAACTATCAATGACCCTATGCCCTATACTAACTATTAAGGACCCTCTATTAAGTAATTATGATTCCAATTAAAAGGCCGTGAAAGCTCGACTGCCGCTGATTCCAAGCTCCCGCCTCGGCGTAGAACAGTAGGCCTTTCAGTGCGGATTTCAGGAGCTCGAGACTCGAGATTTCACAGCGTCTCTTTGGGTCGGTTTAGGGGTTTTAGGGTTCAGGGATGTGTAGTCTGGGATGTGTATTCCAGGTGTACAAGGGTTTAGGGATGTTAGGCTGGATGCATATAGTAATAGTTGTGCCGTTCGGTGGTGGCTTCGTGAAGTGATGCCGGTCTGGACGGAACTTGGCTTCGAAAGCTAAGCACCCATTGCACAGCGAGGTCCGACCTTGGTGGTCTAGCGTGGCAAGATCGAAAATGATGCCTGCGGTGCTTTCGCAATTCGCCGATGCAGCCGCCGAATGGCCAGAGGATCGCTTGTCTCATCCGGTGGGTCCCTGTTGTCGTCTCCAGGCAGGTGTCTACATCTTGTAGGGGCATCCTAGCTTTTGACTGCATTGCGGGAACTTCACATTGCGACTGCACATATAGCCACAGTATGCATGCAACGGCTGGGCACTGTCAATGCCAACAATATAAGTTACTGGCATAGGGCACTTCACTCAGTCAGATGCAACACCCACAAATTCATCCAGACCCAGTCCCCAAGCTTGACATCGAAACTTTCAGGCGACGTGTCATGAAACTGGATGCTATGGCTATGATGTAGATTGCATGGCAGAAGAGGGCGGCCAGGAACTCGCCCCACGTCTTCGAGGCTTCGGGGTCCGCTGAAGTCCAGTGCGGCCACACGCGAATGCACTGAAGCAATCAACTTGAAGCTGTAAAGTTGGGAAGCGACGATGAGATTGTGGCTGCAGACCGTCAGAGAAGTGAAAATGCCAGGGTCTGTGCAGCACGTGTCCGACGATGTGGCAGACGCGTCCCTTGGCACTCGCCCGTTCTTGTGGACGCAAAGAAGGCTGGTTGGAGACTCGGAGAGTTGGATTTCGAGGCTGTTTCTGCCGCCCTGCGTGCTCAAGGCGGGGGGGGCGTCCGCGAAGTCGAACGGAGTGAGTCGCGCTGTCCTTCTGTGAGGTCCGCAAGAAGCAGCGGGGACACTGGGCGAGTGCGAGCTCCGGTCCGAGCCTTCAGAGAGAAAGGGCAGCTCTCAGCTCGCCCCACAGCTCGGTGTCGCTTGTCGGCTCCAAGTCGAAGCTTAGTAGAGTAGCTAGTAGAGCAGCCGGGCCCTCTGTGCCGTTTTCCTGATGCCACGGCGACGATCGCCCGCGTTGTTGCTGGGCCTTAGCCTTCCTTCGCTTCTAAGCTTGGACAGGTCAGGTTCGCTCTTTGTGGGATGGTCAGGAGCTCCGGGGAGAGCTCAGCTTGCTAGCAAAGCGACCAAGCAGCTTTGGGATTCGGCTTGGGATGCCCTGATCCCCGCTGGGCCGGACGGCAGCTCGATCAGCAATCCGGAGCTGCTTCGGCTGGTGAAAGAGAGTATAGACGAGACTTATTTCGACGACGATGGACTCCGGCAACTCCCAAAGGTGGAAGACCGTCCCGGTGGGAAAAGTTTCTTTGAGCGGATGAACGAAACTTTCTGGGCCTACGGTCCTGTGGTCGTCGCGCCTCTGGGGCCGCTGCGAACGGTCAGCGTCTCGGACCCTGGCATGGTAAAGTGCCTCGATCGCACCTTTGGCAGCGCATGGTGCCCTACTTCTGCCAGAGAATGCTTGCACAGGAATGGCTCAGGTATATCCTTTCTCAAAGGGAGCTGTTCGGCAAGGGGTTCCTTTCGGCGGTTGGTCAGGATATCTTTGGCAAGGCGCTGATCACAGCATCGGCTTCTAGATCGCAATCACTTCCTAACTTGATGAGCACCTTTGCTGTCAGAATTTCTGCAGAACTAGGCGCTTCTATTCTGACAGTTTTATGGTCGCCAGATGTCCAGCTGTTTGCATAATCGTAGATGCACATGCCTGCGATCCCTGGGCGACTGGAAAGCGCAATCAAGGATCGTGAACTTTGGCAGTCGAGACGAGCTGCAACAAGTGCAGGAGCTTTTGCCTGCATCGAGACTTTGAGAAACGTTTACGTTTTGCAGCAATTAGCGGAGCACCGCCGCCAAGGATTCCACGCACAGTGGTTGAGGAGCCTTTCTGAGGATTTTGTGCATTGCACTGCCGGCCCCCTACCAACTTATTGAACAATAAGGGACCGACTGCTTCGACAGTGCAAGATCTAGGAACGTGTTGGTTTCACTGACTGGACTTCAGACTCAAGCCATGCGGCTTCTGGATGATCGGGTCCGGTATGGAGAGGCCATCCCGCCTTGTGCCGACGCACTAAGCATCTGAAGGAACTTCACCAGAGCTCGAAACGCCACAACATCTTGCAGCCGACATGCTTCATGCAGATTGAAATCGTATCGTCGCAGTTGCATCGCGTTTTGGGCTAGGTGGTAGACATGGAAAGCTTCTTTCTGAACTTGGCCCTCGACACCGTTGGTCGCACCATCTTCGGCTATGACTTTCAAGCGAGCGAGCAGCCTCCCAACAGCCCGCAGTCGCCGATTGTGAGGGCAGTCTACCGGGTGCTGAAAGAGAGCTTGAGCAGCAATTAATATTGTATGCCGACGCAGCTTCCCAGAGGGGCAGTGTGGTTCTGTCAGGACAGAGTACAGACAAGCCAACCTTGCGAACCTGCTGTTCATGGGGGCTCCGGACACATTGGTGGACGTCGCAGCTCCAAGCGTGGCGGAGTACAGGTCCCTGCAGCAGCCCGAAGATCCATAGACCGTCATAGAACGAAGCGCCCGAAGATGCATGGACTTTGCAGACAGGCAAAGCCTTCGGAGCATTGATGCGGTACTCGACGATGTCATCGGTGCAGCGTTGCTTGAACAGAGGCTCACAGATGAAGCAGACGCTCTGAGCTGCAGTATGCCTACAGAAGTAAGAAGCGAGCAGACCAGCCGAGTCGTCCTCTCCTCCTACTACAGAATAATTACTGAGAATCACTGGAAGTATGCATTGGTCGAGCCGTGGCCCAGTCATCTGAGGAACTCCGCCGGCGATCCGGTGGTACGCTCCTCCAGTTCATCGTAGACCTCCGTGGAAATCAGGCGAACAGAGAGCAGCTCCAGGAGAGCCAACCAACGCTAAAGCCGAGCCAAAAATCCTCTAAAACAGCCATATTGTACATTGTAGTAGGGCTTTTGCAATTCACAGAAAGTCTTATGAAACCGCGATAATCTCGCCAGAACAGCTCGAAAGTGCTTACGTTGCTTACTTGCTTTCTTTCCTCGAGGATGACCTGCGGACTTTGCTGATTGCGGGCCATGTGCCTTGAACAAGTTGAGACCAGATTCTACCAGTCGGAGTTTGTGGGCCAGGGGGGCCTTGGGGCATCCGAGGAAACAGTGGCCAGTACACTAACGTGGGCCATCTATGAGCTGGCGAAGACTCCCGAGGTCATGGCAAAGGCCAAGAGGGAGGCGCCTTGGCTTACAGTAGGGAATGTAAAGTTTCTTGTCTTTGCCTGATAGAAGCTGCAGGTTGAGAGAGTCTTGGGTGGTCGTTCCTCGCCCACCTACCAGGACGAAGCCTAGCGGCAAATAAGGATCTTGTCAAGTTGGCAGCCTCCGGCAGTCAGGTTTTACTTCGGGGGCGGAAGGGGGTTCAGTGGGTACTGCCCTGGAACTCCATGTGTAGGGATTCGTGTTCTTGGAAGAGAGACGAGAGAGTAGACGAGAGTAAAAGAAAAGAAGTCGTAGCCCTGCGTCCCCATGCTTTTCAGGTATTGGCAACAAGAGAATAGATGATGGAAGGGACCGACACCAGGTCCCTCTTGTTCGATCCAGGCTTCCGTGTTTGTGGGAAATCCCGGCCTTTTGAGAAACTTGATAGAATATGCCTACGGCAGGATAGTCCAAAAACCAGGTGCATACATAGCGTAAAGTGCAAAGTAAACCCCTCCGATCCGTTCCGTGTTGTGTGGAACTCCGTGTGAGATAAGGCTTCATCCACGCAGACCTGTGAAAGAATCATGGCTCGCTAAGTTTTCTGTCAGATTGCCGAAAACTGCAAAAATGGCCAAAACGTGCCGCAAAAGCTTCGGTTCCACCGATGGGTTCTGCCTTTCCGTTTAAGCAGATTTGTTGGGAATGGACTTTGTTGTGGGCTTTGACCTCTTGGCATCGGGTTGTCCACCCTCAGCCCTTGCAAGATGAGGTCAAAGACCTGAAGTACATCAGGCTCGTGCTGACAGAGGTGGGCTGACATTCCGAAACCATGCGAAGAAGACCACATGCTGTGCTGCCCTGCAGACTTTGCGGCTGTTTCCAGCACCACCAGTGCTGGCCCGGAGCCCACTTCAATCTGTCACACTGCCGGCAGCAAATGGCAGCAACGTGACTCTGATGCTCGAACGGCAAGATTCGAAAGATTGAGCGGTATGGCACATGAGATCTTGTTCCCATAGTGAGGACTGGGCTGTTGTTGCTCAGGAAGCGGGGATCGTTGCTGCTGCTTCAGCTAGCGCAACTGCATCGACATCCCGGTGTCTACGAACGCCCAGATGAGCTTCCTGTTCGCATCCATTGTCCTGAGTTGGGAAAGACCTGGGCATGGTGTCGAGGTTTTGGCCGGAGCGCTGGGCACAGGCCTTCAACTCCACCGGCCTGTATGATGCGGGAGGCTTTGGGATCGCTTTTGATTGAATCGAAGCGAAGAGAAATGGCAAAAGGATGGCGCGGCTACGACCCAGTGAGGGTCACAGGCCTTTGCTGCAAATGCCTCAATTCAGAGCCGATGTTGGCACATTTTTTGGAAAAGGCCTGTACCCCACGGCTGTTGCGACAGACTACGCTTTTGTTGGCTTTGGAGGAGGCCACCACCTCAGCCGTTCAGAGCACCAACTCCGGGACTCGTAAGAAGTATCAGAGTCGGCGAGCCGAGGCGAGTTCCAGTGCATCGGCGATCAGTTTGCCATGATCGAATCCACGATCATTCTGGCCATGCTTCTGCAGAGGTGTCGTTCTGTTGTTCGTGACACGCTCTACCGGAAAAAGTCGCGCGACAGGTATGACTTCAAACTCGTTTTCGATGATTTGGAGACCATCGGCCTAGACATGGCCGCTACAATCCACACGAAGCGTGGACTCTTCATGAGAGTCTCAGCGGTAGGCCCGCGACAGCGCGGCGCCATGTAGCCTGCACAACACGTTTTGTTTCGTGCAGATCTAACGACACGACCCGAGATCATAGTGGATCTCCTTCGTGTTGGGTGCAGCCTAAAGTGGCTCCCCGGCATGAGCTCTGGTTGAATTCACATTAATAGTTGTAATTTTCGGCTGGAGACACAAGCCCACGCCCTGGTTTCGCTGCAGCTCGACAACTCTTTTATGCGCTGCGGACAACATGTGTCAGCCACATTCAGCCGCCATGTTTGTTGTGCTGGCACTGTTGAGCAGCATCCACTTTCCTACGGGGTCGTGGCAGTCGAAGCTGAGGTTGGCGGCCAAATACTGAACAAAGTCAGGCATTCTTCCCATCTCAAGTTCCACAAGCACCCATCTCTTGACATGCCTGATGCGCAGGCAGCTCCCTTTCCCGCACTGGCAGGTGGCGCCGAGGACCCGCCAGAGTTAAAATGCCGGTCGCCTCGAACAACTACATGTCTGTTGGTTCTTGTCAAGAGCACATGGTGTTCCCGCAGAAGCTTGTCGTAAACGCAAGAACGCATGTCCTCGGCAGAGTTTGTGCCAATTTTCAAGAGTGTTGTGGTTACATTCCCGTGGCAGCCTCTTCCTTGGTGCCGGGGGTCTGAGACTGCTACTGTATCCCTTTGCGTCGTTTTGCAAAGTCTTCTCATCGCAAGACGAGGAGAACCTGTTCGTCCAGGATGTCAGAGCCAGACGAGCCTTGGCTATGCACGGATGGCACGGTGTTTCACCCGCCTTCGAAGATGAGTGTCGTGTGTGTTGTCAGATTGGCACGCGCTTGCTTTCGGTGAATTATGTGTGCGAGGCGAGTACAAGCGTCTCCGCGGCACTGGCCTCGGCAGGACTGAAAATGACACGATTTCATCGAAAGCCAAGCTGAATCCCTCGAGGATGCTCCTTGCAGCGCGATTTTTTTTGAAAGAACTCACTGCATAGTTCCACTCCGGAGCATGCTTGAGCCAAGTGCACTTTCGCAGAGAGGGTGTCCCGAGTTCGGGGACCTGGCATGCATTGATCCTTGTGACAGTCCTGGTGTCATGCTGTTGCTTTGCATCCCCCTGATCCTGTATTGCGGAGAGGAGGTCACAAAGAGATGCAAGCTAGGGAAAGGGGCCATTCCAGCGAGGTTCTGCTCAACAAGCGCTGGTTGACAGCCTGGCGCCCAGAATCCCCTTTTTAAGCATATTCAGCGAGGGCTATGATGATTTTGCTGCCCCTGGCCGTCAGGCGACTTGTTCGGAGAGGCACATGAGCACATTGCACTTCGTCTTGCAATCAACTCGTAGGTGAAAATCACAGCAAAATCTGCTGAACACGCGAGGCTGCAACTGAGGTGCTTTCCGAGCAAGGCCGGGTTGCTTTCCGTGGGCTGTCCTGTTGCTTGTCGCTGCAAGACCTGCGCGATGCTAGCAAGGCGATGGCGATAGCCTCGCCATCACCCCTAAGGATGAACCCTACGAGTGTAGAGCTTGGAGATTCTTGTTTGGATGAAGGCTCGTCTGGCTTGGAATGGTGCAGTGTGTAGACTTCAGGTACGAACTCCTGTCTCCAGAGGAAAGCAAAGCAAAGGAAGAGATCTGGGACGAGGCGTGAAGCAGATCAACCGGGCTTCCTCACAGGGCAGCACCGCAGGTAAACAAGGACCTCCTCGAGTCCTTGCATGACAGGAAAATGCACAGCCAGGGGCTCAGGACCCATCAACTCCTCTCGGCTTCAGTCTTCGAATCTTGAGGCCGCAAACGAAAGCGCCAGGAGGCACGCAGCTTGAGGTGGCGGCATCAGTGCACATTCCTGCTGCGAAGGCAGAAAGGAAGATAGCGGACAGGTCGAAGCCTGCAGCGGAAGGACTTGGGCATTGCGGCCTCAGCAGATGCCGAGATGTGATGAGGTGGCAGAAGGAGCAAAAGCAGTGCAGCTCCTAGTTTCGTCACTGCAAGCTGCTTGATTGTGATGTCAGCTCTGGTGAACGGCAAGGGCATGCATCGACTCATCCTGGGCAGGCTGCTCCTTCTGGAACAAGCCCGTGCCCGTCGGAAGCCACGGACTCAGTGTTCCAGCAGGGAATTCCGAAGCAATTGCGACCTGATGGTGAAAATAAGACGCCTGTGGATTCTGGCTGGCCACGTTTCAGTGCATCATCGAGTTCGTGCAATCCCACCCCATCTCGTCTCGCTTCAGAATAAAGCCGATACACTACGATACTTCATGTGCACTGTTGTGAAGGCTTGCTTTGGTACCGTACTCTTTGCGGGTGAGGACTGCGCGGCATGTAGAAAATCGCATAAAAATGCAGCAAGATACAAGTGGCGCACTTTGGAGGCCGAGCCGAGGAACTCACAAGCGGGAAATGGGAGCCTAGCAGTCGAAAGAAGGTCAGCCGTTCAACCTCGAAATCGGAGCGTGCAAACTTGAGCAGATTTCTCTCTCCGACAGTCACATGCAGAAGCCCGCACGCGCATTGCGGTTCAGAACCGCTCTGTCGGGCAAGCTCTTTGTTTGCATGGTCACCTTCGGCATGACCCTTTGCCTAGGCAAGGAAGGTCCAATCAGAAGAGGCCTGCCTGGAACAATTTGAGTTTCGGGTTCGCCACGACGATATTGAATCGCATCGATCTCCGTCTCTAGCGCTATCTCTGTCTATTTATTGATCTATCTATTTTACCCGTCTATCTTCAGGCTCGCTGCGACATTGCCATATGAGGCAGTGGTATATGAGCTTGAGTTGCACATGTACCAAGTTAGATGTCGTCATTCGGGGTACAGCAACGTCTTGTGTTCGTCTGTGTGTGTGTGTGTGTGTGTGTGTTTCGGGTGTTTGTGTACATGTACGCAACGCCTGTGCAAGTTACCCCATAAAGTGTTGCGAGCAACAGATGTTGTGGGGTATGCAGCATGCTCTCTGCTGCCAGGCATTCTCGGCCAAGTGCCGCACTCACACGAGGAGCTCCGGAGAAGCTGTGTTCCCTGCTGCAGCATGTTGTAAGGCGATATTGAAGACTATGTTCCCTCAACCGAGGACCTGGCTTTCGCTGTCATTTTGTACAGTAGCAATACGGGAGCGGAAACCCCGGTCGCAGGAAGAGGATGAAGATTCCAGTGAGCCCGAAGCCGACTTCTGGGCGGTGCTCATTGACACGTTCAATTTGACAATAACGCTGTTTGTTGCATTCAAATTCAATGATGGTGGGGTTGCAATCTTGAGCTTGGAATGCCAGGCGCATGCGGCAGTGGCTCGGCCTGGGTATGCGGGACTTGCATGAGAGAGACGTCTGGCCTGATTCACAATGTCCCGACCTTTAACCCTACAGTACATGCGGTCCGATGTGCGATTCGTCTTGGCAGGGCCGTGTTTTCCAAAAGGTTCTTTCTGTGAAAGGAGAGTGCCTCTCATGCATGCCTCCTCGAGGTTTTCAGCATATGCTTGCTTTGTGCACATATGCTGAATAAGGCAAGACAGAGCCACGGAGCATGCTCCAGCGTCATCCTGAGACCTTGCAGATGGTGCCAGCACAGCTAAAAGAGCCCTCTTGATGTCGCTCAGTGAGCATGGCTGTTGAGCACAGCGGCCTATGAAAGCCCGATGCAGACTGAACAGAGGTCTGCCGCCGGCTTATCGGACCCTCACTGCAAAGGCTGATCTGTTCAGCTGCATGTTATGTGTTTGCCTCCACTTTCATTTCTCGACTTGGCGTCGGCTACAAAGCGGTGAAGGAGAAGATGGAAGCCGAACAGCAGCCGGGACTTCAGTTGCTAGCAGCAGGTCTTGAGCAACCTTTAGTAGTCCTGGGGTGGCGGATGTTCGAACCAGCCCACCATGGCCATCGGCTCAAAGCAAACTTTTGCGCGAAGGGGTTCATATGCTGCAGACATGAAAGAACCGTGGCAAGGTGAATTCAGCACCTGTAAGGACCAAGTCTTGTGCATGCATGGTACCACTGCAGAGAATCGCCTAAAAACAGTTCTGAAACACGTAGGACACTAATATCAGATTCAGAAGTTGCAGCCTTTTGACATCCACAGGCATGCCCTGTGGACACCGATGGGTATGGACGGGGGAGATGCATCTGTCCAGGTTGCTGTTCGAATTCGGCCCGTAAAGCAGCCTTGCCACGAAGCCACTGCGATTAGCTTCGTAGACAGCACAGTCGCAGTGACATCACATCATGGCACGGAGCAAACAGATGTGGACCAGATCTTGGTGGAGACTTTTGACAAAGATGCAGAAGCTTCCCAAGCTAGAGTCTTTGACCGTCTGGGCGAGCCGATCATTCGGGGAGCTCTACAGGGCATCAGCCAAGGCATAATTTTTTACGGAGCCTCAGGTTCCGGGAAGACCTACACAGTGCTGGGGACCAGAGAAGCGCCTGGCCTCTTGTCGCGCCTCGAGAAAGCTCTCCTACGCTCAGACCTTCCCGACACGCTCAATGAGATCCGAGTATGGCTCCTTGCATGAAGTAGAGCTGTCCCTCCCTCAAGACACCTGTGCCCATTTCAACTAAACCTGCTTGTAAGGTTCAGCGCGTTGGAGATATTCAACGACCAGGTTCAAGACATGTTGGCGACAAAACCCTTGTCGGAGCGCAGACATGCGCCAGTCTTCCTTCATCACCCCATCCTTGGTGTTCAGGTGGTCGGTGCAACAGAGACCCCTGTAGAATCATGCAATGTGGAGGAGCTAATAAATTTCTCTTTGAAGCGCCGTGCGCTTGGTCGCACATGCCTACACGCATCGTCCAGCCGTTCAAGCCAAGTCTATTGCTTTCGGGTCGAAGCCTCGGGTGCCTCGGGTCAACAATCGACTGCGCGGGTCTATCTCTTCGACCTGGCTGCGCCGGCATCACGGAGGGCCGCCTGCCCGTCACTGACGGCCTTGCAGACCACCGTGCGGGAGCTGTCCGAAGGCAGTCGACATCGAGACTCCACTTCTTTGGGCTCTCCACTAATGGTTGCTCTTCGAGACGCATTGCAAGGCAGCTGGTGCTCCCTGCTGGTAGCTACTCTGTGTGCTGGAAGCCAGCACGCGTCGGAATCTGCAGCCACGCTTCGGTTTGCTCGTGAGATGCGTCAGTTGCAGACTCGCCCTTTGGCTTCGAAGACGCGACCAGAACAGCTCCAACTGTTGCAGGAGGAAGTGGCAGAGTTAAGGAAGGAAGCCGATCAGCTGGGTTTGGGGAGCGTGCTTAAAGCATCGCTGGATGACCGAAGCAGCCTCATTGCAGAGATAGTGAAGCAGACCGCATCTCAAACGGAAGAGAGTTGCAAGCTGGCGAGGCAGCGCACCAAGGCCCTGGAATGGTGTGGATTGCTGACGGAGAACTCGGAGGATCTGAGACGGAAGGACACAACAACGCCGTATCTTCTGAACATGTCTGACGATCCTGTTCTTGCAGGCTGTCTGCTCTACTACCTGCCACAAGGGGAGAGGATTTCTATTGGAAGCGATCTTGACAGCACCATAGTGTTCGACGGCTTGGGCATCCTGCCCAATCTGTGCAGCATCATCAACAGTGATGACAGGCACCTCAGTATGGCTCGTCCAGACTTTGCTCGTCGGCATGTCCTGCACAATGGAAAGATGCTCAACACTTCTGAGAGCGTCCAGCTCTCTGACAATGATAGGCTTTGCCTCGGCAGAGCCCAGCTGCTTCTCTTGAAGATCCCTCTTCAGTCGAAGGCTGAACAGAGACCACTCCAGGAGGAATGCAAGCTTCCGGGGAGTTTGTCGGAGTTGCTTCCGGCCTTGCAGCTGCAAGAGGATATAACTTTTGAGATGGTACATGCACTTCTTGAACACTCTGACTCGCTGAAAAACGTACAGTGCTACGTGAAGGACTTACTTCCCAAGTTGCCTGCCTCCAATGGTCTTGCTTGCTTCACCGTGTTGCGCGAAGTGTGCTATTTGCTGGACGAAGCAAATCTGATCACTCGGGAGGTCAGGCCAGAGGATCACATGCATTTCCAGGTAGAACTAATCTGGGACATCGAGCGGAATCCGGAGGAGGTTCTTCTGATTGCTTTGATATGCTATGGGAAAGGCATCCATACCACACCAGCCACGGGAGCTTTACCAGACTGTCAAGTCCTCCACTACTGGTCGTACAGACGTTTCCTGGAGAAGCTGGATGAGATGCGGGAGGTCCATCGTCTGCATTGCCAAGGGCTGAGCGGATGGACAGGTCGTGGGGACCCTTTTCATGACCCTTGGATGGAGAATCTTGGTCCCTGATCAGCGTTTGCTTGTTATGGCTTTGTTTCTTGCTCCCCCACCACGAAACTAAGAAATCTGCCGCCAGTCAACCAGTTGCTACTGCCCTTAGCCTTAGCTCTCAAGGCCCAGTGCGGACGCTCTGAAGCAGTACCTGCTGACCTGCTCTTCGTGTCAGCAAGCAGTGACCACACGTGGCTATGTGTCGATGGACGGGGCATGTTTTATCGATGCTGATAGGTTGATGCGTTGCAGCATCTTTGTTTAGGTCTTAGGGCTTTCAGGTGGCAACAGAATGCATCAGGATTAAAGCTTGCTTGAAAGCTGGTCGGGCTGAAGAGTGCTCTAGAGAGGCTGTTGCCTTCTCCAGGAGCATGGTCGTACGATGCAGAAGACATCAGGCTACGCTACAGCGGAAGGCGATCAGCTGCGCGGCAGGATCGACGAGCTAGTCCAGGAGCTGGAGGACAAAAATGCCGAGCTGGAGGAGAAGGATCAGATTGTGGCAGAGCTAAAGGAGCAGATGGCTCAGATCACACACCTACTCGGCGGATTTGCACCAGAGGCTGCGCAGCGCCTTGTTTTGGAGCAGCCCGAGCCCGAGAGCCTCGTCTGCATCTGAAATCTGAACCGATAAGCACAGGTACCGATGCCCCTCGTACTGCACAACCCTGCCACTTGCCAGGGCGCCTTGCAGCAAAGAGAAGCGCGACTCGCCGCCCAGTGAAGCTGAGAATTCATGCACAATGACAGTCTCTGCATCCACATCGGAAGGAGGCTTCGGCCTCGGCGTCGGAGGAGACACTCGCGAGTCGCCGAAGCGCTCTCGAGGCTTTCGCGTGGACAACTTTGGTGCTTCCAAAGGAAATCATGGCGGCGCTGCTCTTCTGAGCCAGTCCAGCCTAACACCGCCTCATTACTACCGGGACTTGCGAAGATGACAAGGCCCCTTCGTCGTTTCACACTAGGACTTACTAGGACGAATTCAGAAGTGCACCCGCCAGCCTCTGTGCGCAAACCTTGCCCTGCAGAAGCGTTTGCTTTAGCTGCCTGTATTACTTTCTCGTTTCGTCTTTTCACTCGTCGTGTCGAGGCGCATCAAGGAGCAAGCGAGATTCGCGAGGAGCGTCAACGAGCTCTTCGGCCTGGAGCCAAGTACCGGCAGCACAGCTTCACTTCGGCTCCTTCTGCTGTTCGGCGACGAGTCTTCCTGGGATAAGGTGATTGCTGAAAGCAGCAGGGTGCAGTCGCGAACCGGACTCAGACAGCTGATAGTTCGCGGAAGTATCGCGGGCTTGACGTGACTGCTCTGTGTCAGGATGTGTCAGGTGAAGCAGTGTGCGGGTGCGAAGATTTCGGTCATGCAAAGCACATGAAAAGAGACCACGTGAGACCCAGGCATGTGGTTGAAGGCATCGGCAGCTGAATTGAGATTGATTGTTGGCACAGGCATGCGCTGCGATTAGGTCGTCCGCCACGGCTGGCTGCGTCTTAGGGAGATCGTCAGTTGGCATTCGCATGCGTTCGTGTACAAGAGCTGCAGCAGTACCGTCGATCAAAGCACATGTCCTGCCTGCAGCAACCGAGAAGTCAGGGAGGTCTTGCAAAGTCAAAGTTCTTCGCTTTGCACCACCGTTTCCGCGCATGTCGGCCTGGCTAAAGGGCCATGCCAGCACAGCCGTGGCCTTACTGACACAGCCGACTGGTGTGGACATATGCGGCGCTATGCGGTCTGATCTGCAAGCAGTCGGTGTTTGCGCGTGGCGAGGGCTATCGCCTTTTGCCCGGCGACACATCGCCAGAGTCTGCCAGGCATCCACTGCATTCCGATACCATGGAGTCCTTCTCTCAAACTAAGCTGCGGAGGTTGGCCAAAGTGCTACCTGTGGATGGTCCGGCTCAAAGGAGCAGCAACAGAGCAACTGTGTAACTGCGAAGTCGCCTGATGCACCCTGCATCAGACTCTCCGAGCAGGAGCCCCGACGACCACCTCGGCACTTCAGGGGCGGAGAACTGAGCTCTCCCAAAAGTGTTCAGCAAGACATCATTCTGAACCGAGAGCATCTGAGTCTTCAGGACATCATACAATTCATGTCCCATATCTTCTACACTGAAGAGGGCCGCGCCTGGGCAAGCACCGAAATGCACCGAACATCGCTTCCTCTTTGTGCTGGAGGGTTGTTGCATGTCAGGAAAGCACCAGGTGAGCGTGAAGGTGATCCGCATAGGCACTGCGATGCTGCCCCAACATCTTCTGCTTGCTGCCCCTCACTGCAAGGCACTTTGGAGGGGGACTGTTCCGTCTCCTGCCACACCGAGGACATTGAAGCGACATGTAGCCCGTAAAGCATATAAACCACTGTCGCTCGCTGGAGGGTCTACATGTCGAAATTCGATGAATGAGACTCCCTCGTCAACTTCAGACACTGCAAGGCATGTTTAGATTACCGCATCCGCCTCAGCCCTGGCTCGCGGTTGTAAGGGCCGAACTATCGGCGAGCATGCGGGTACCCCATGGCGAGAACTCACCGCCGTGGGATCCTTCATCCCCAACTGCAATGCTGCGCGTGCTGCAAGCGGCTGATGCCGCTTGCCTTTGCACACTGAAAGGATCAATCAGACGGTCGGTTCAAGAAAATGAAAGCAGGTCATGAGTTGATCGAACCTGGGTTGAATCTGGCTTCGAACCCCCATCCCCCTCCGGACCTTAGTGCCACCGGCCTTGTTGCTTGTTCATTCTATTCTGCGCATGCAGCTCAGCTGATGATACGACACCTGCAGGCCACGAAGCACAAAAACAAGGTGATTTTGCGGAATGCAGCAAGCTGGAGGCTGGCATAAGCAAAACATTGAATTGGCGTGCTGCCAGCGTCACTTGACTGAGTGATGAAATGGGTTCGGAGTCAGGCAGCTGTTGGAACTGGTGGATGTTCTTGGTCAGACGCCCCACGCGCTGAACGCCTGCACGCTACTGCACCGCTTGGCCAGAGCCGTGGTGCGTGAAGGCAAGGGCTTATCAGAGCGAGCCCGTCTGCTTCGCAGCTTGGCCGGACCTTCAGATTATCAGATTATCAAGTCATGGCTAAGCTGGACTCGCTTGGACTTGGTCAAGTGATGTGGTCTACCAAGGCAGCTTTGACTCTTTCCAAAGGCTGCTGGAGAGAATTTCACGATTGGTTCCCGACTTGAACAACATGGAGTTGACCAACTGCCTCTGGGCCTTAGCGACCTTAGAAGCAACGGATGCAGCCGAAACGGCGCTTCTAACGCAGCTTGCCGCTCCATGGTGGCACCCAGTGGAAGCACTAATAACTTATACTTAAAATCATTTCGAGGCTCGCCGCTCCCGGCGCAGAGAGCTCATCTTTTGCTCCCGAGGCGGGATCTGCCAAGTACTTGGACAGCTTTGAGCCTCGAAACTTGGCATTGTCTGCCTGGGCTCTCGCCAAGATCGGATACGTGGACAAGGCCTGGTGTCGTCTTTGGGCGGAAGAGGTGAGCCGGAAGCTCGCTACCTTCGAGACCCGGGATATGACCAACGTGATCTGGGCGTTTGCCACTGTGCACTGGCGCGACGAGCGTTTCTTGACAAGGTTCTGCAAGGCAAGGCGTGGGCTCTCGTGTAAAGCGCAGTGTCGCGTGTAGAGGAGGGTTTGAAGTCGCTCGGGCTCTCAGTCGCTACAGCCGTGCATCCCCTGATCTGCAACATTGGAGGAAGTTGAACTCAAAGCAGAGTACTACACTCCTCAAGATGTGGGAAACACACTGTGGGCGCTGGCCACTCTTTCGTGGAGGAGTGATGCGGCGCTAGCAGCCATAAGCAAACGCTGTTTTGACACCGCCAGCACCTTTGACCAGCAGAACCTGTCGATATCACTGTGGAGTTACGCAACCCTGGGCTACAAGACAATGTGGCTTGATAGCAGAAGTAGAGCAACGTAGGTAAGGGGATGTCTATACAACTTGACGCCAGCCGACACGGGCTGTCTTAAGCTTGGCTTCGGAAATTCCGTTGCCGTCCCCGGGCTGTAGCTTGGCCATTGATGATGCTGATGATGATGATGATGATGAGGCATGAGAGAGACCTAGAGTGCATGCAGCCGAAGGCCTCTATGTCTAGGATTGAAAGCTCAAGCCGTATGTAGCGATTGCTGCACCTGGGCCAGGAATTTGTTTCATCACATGACGCAGATCATCACCGAGCGGATCAAGACTTTTGCATCTCAGGGCATTGCCAACGTTGTCTGGGCGTTGGCCAAATTCCAATTTCAGCAGAAATGCTTATTGATGACCATCGCAGAAGAAGCCCCGCCGCGTCTCGACGAGTTCGATCCGCAACACCTCTCTATCCTCGCATGGGCCTATGCCACCCTGGAGTTCCCGAACCGGCCTCTGCTCTCCGCACTCTGTCAGGCGGCCGTGCGGAAGATGGACATCTTCAATGCACAGCACATGGCCAACATGACTTGGGCCATGGCGACTCTGGCACACAAGGTCGGGCTACTAGTAGGATTGCAAGGGCTGTGAAGCAGTGATTCTGTGCCTGGCGGTCTACCTGACAGGATGAGCGATACTTGCAAGTTCTCGCCTCCAAGGCCATGGAGCAGGCAGCAGGGGGTGCAGGGGAGTCAAAGTGGAGAAAGATGCTGCGACTCGTAGCAGCGTGTCTCCGTGCTAGAAGGTCGCGAGCTTCAATCCCCAGGAGTGCTCGAACTTGGTTTGGGCTTTCGCACTGCTCACTTTCCGACACGACCCACTCCTGAAGGCTGGGGCCTTTTGCTGCGACTATCGTAAACACAGCAGCAGCAGCAGGAGCAAACTGAGGAAGTGGCCTGTGCATCTCGGCGTAGAACATGCGCATGGGCTGAACTGAGGCGCTCAGCATTCGCTCCCAACAAATCGTGTCTGCCCCTTGCTATCATAGCCTCACATTGTTGCTTCAATGAATCAAATACTCAACGAGTAGCAGAGGAGTTCGCATGGCGATGCAGCCTAGGATTTCATTCCCCAAAACTTGGGCAACACAGCCTGGGCCTACAACCGGCTAGGATACCGGGACGAAAGATTAATGGAGTGTCTGGTAAACGAAGCAGCTGGAAGACTCCACGAGTGTGCCGGCCAAGAAATTCTTGACCTCATTGAGTCCATATCAACCGGTGGCTATGAGGATGCTGTGCAAGGGCCGCAGTGGAGTTCACTCGTATCTTGGGCTGGTGCGAAGTACGAGTCTGTGCAGAAGTTTGTGCAAGTGTCCAGCGATATGCCACTGGGCCTCCGCAAACTCTCAGACTTTGATCGGGCATTAGCCGTCCAAGACTATCGGGACCACATGGCAAGCTTCAGCTTGGTTGGCCTGGGGTTTACGTACACATCCCAGCTGCTTCGCGAGATGGGTGTCGTTTTGCTGGAAGGCCCTCAGCGTGAGAGTTGGCAGAATGCATCACAAGTGGCCGCAGCTCGGATAACTGGGACGGGTAATGAATCTGATGCGACCAAAAACACTGAGGCACAGGAAGGGTTGAAAATCTGTCGTACAGTCTGCGTCTATCGCTATTCGCTCCGGTCCGTGACCGGGCAGACCAGCGTGGCGGAACCGACTGCCGTGACCAGCGGACCGGCGTCCGAAGCTTTTGAACTGGGGCTTTTTGCGGCAGTCTTGCGGCATCCACGAGGCGGAGATGGTGAGTTTCAGGCCCTCCAGGCATGTGCACGCAGATGTTTGGACTTGGGCTGTGATCCCATCGGACCTCCTCCGCTGGATGGGTCTGCCATCGAGGGCGAGCTCTGGCTCCATGTCTCCGAGGTTCCATGTCTTTCTTGCGTTGGCGCTATGGCGCAGTTTAGAAAGATCTTCCCAGACATCAAGATCCACATTGCTTTCAACCTTGGACGCCAACCATCGCAAGATGGCACCTCGTCAGCGTCCTTCCAGGACGGAGATGTGCCAAGCTGTTTAACGCGTGTTGAATCTGCTGAAGCCCTTTCATGTGAGGCATCATAAGTCAAGTGCAGCGCACTAGATGCTGACATAGACCGCTCTGGTTACTCTAGTTCCAGTTGGCCCTGGCTAGGGCAACAGCAGTTCTGTGCCGGCACGTCGAGAAGTTTAAGTTCATTGCCGAAGTCCTGCTCGCAGCATCCAGCTCCTTCTCCTCCTGCATGAGAACCAGGCCGTCCAAGGCTGTTGCAGCCCACCACGCGGACCTTCGCCACCTGTGAGTTCTTCCCCGAGAAGCCTGGCAGGACATCCAAGGACAGCCGAGAAAGCCGAGGAAGGCTCGGAGTCGGCACGCGGTCACTGTCCGCTCGGAGAAAACAGGCCTTTGAAGTCGCAAAAGGCAGCGTGAGATATCCATACTTCCAATGCTTCACTTGACAGCCTTTCGCAGCAGACTGAATCTAAGTTAGTCTATGTACTAGAAAAGCCATGCAGGACAGCACTGCCAAAGCTGGTGAAAAGCTTCTCAACTTCATTTGGTGCATTTGCGACGTTTGTTTTTCCAGCTTTGCATCTTAGGTACCAGCCTCTGGAAAGAGCTCTGGCTGCACACAACCGCAGATCTCGGTTACCTTCGCTCTCTGTTCTGAGTTTCAAGAGTGCTTGCTGAGATGTGGTGACATCGTGCCAGCACATTCCGCCAAAGGGTGTCCAGCAGCAGCTTCAACTTTAGAAGATACTGGTAGCCGAGGTGTGCTAAGATTCGGACCTGGTGAGAACATGAAGAGCTTCGACATTGAGCTGAGACTCGATCAGAAAAAGCCGAGTACAGACCCTGAAGTCCTCGAGCTGTGCCCTCTCCTTTGGCCAAGGATCGACGACGATAATTTCGACACAACCTTGGACTTCCAATGTATTCTTAGCAACCCAGAGGGTTGCACCATCCAGCTGGACCAGACCCTGGGCCTGAGGAATCAAAAAGCAAAAAGCCGCGAACGACTATGTAGAAAACTCGACGCCCATGTTTTCTTGTCCAAGGAGCATTTGCCAAGTTCTCATTTTCGACAACGATTTGTTTCCCTCCAGTGCGGCTTGCCTAAAATCTTCGCTGCACCATGTCAACAGCGTAGGGCTGAGTAGGCTGCCGTTGGACCTGCGTGTCCAAAGTGAGGGAATGTCTCTTGTTGAAACTTGAGTGCTCTTTGCAGCCGGTCATGGCATGCAGGAGTTTCGAGAAGAACTTCGAGATATGAAGACTGTTCAAGAGGAAGCTTGGCGAGCAAAAGAGTATTTCGCTGCGTTTCGTTGATAGATGGAGTGTGTGACGCTGCACGTTTAGATTCACCAACACATCCGCTGTAGTGTACACTCCTGATCCTGGACCATTGCGACAGGACAGTCGGTGTAAAACGAAGAGCGTATAAGTAGTCGCAGCCGCCCGACTTCATGACGTTCGCTATGTCACACAGTGGGGGAGGCTGCTGAAAAAAAAATCCGAAGTAGCAGCTAGGCCATTTGTTTCGGATGATGCCCTGCGACACCCTCAGGAAGATCTGCATCAAATCGGCTTCCGATTGTTGCGGGCCTTCATTCTTTTTACTTTTCGACACGTGCCCACCATATGGTGGAAATCAATTGTGGCCGTTTTCCTGGCCCAGCTGCTGAGACGCACAATCCCACACGGTTGCCTTCGCATTGTTTGACGGTGTGCCACGTTGTCTCAGGCTAGGTAATGCTTATTATTTGATGACCATCTACCTGAAGGCACGAAGTGTCAAGCTGGCATGCAGAACTCTTGCAAGAGCGCTGGGCTCGCCAGGTCTATTTAGTCGACGTTTGCTTGAATGCAGCTTGGCTGCCGTGTTACACTGCATTCCTCAAAATGTAGCAAGTTTAGTTAGTTGAATAGTCTCTAAGAGCTGATGCAAGACTTTGGGGTGCCTGAATCAATTAATATAGGGGCCTTCATAATTAATAAGTAGCTACACTATGTTGGGGGTTCCCTATCATAATCATGGTATAATGGGCCCCAAAACCTTATTATGATGATTAAGGCCCCTACATTATAGTACCCTTATACGACCCCTTTAGAGGAACCCTATTCTGATTCAAGGCCCCTATATTGGTCTCTTTAGGGTGCCGGCAGCGCCTCCGAGGTCAAGGACGAAGCGACTCTGGAGAGCCACTCTTTCGCAGCTCAGAGCCGCTGCAAGGGGTTTTTGGAATCCCGGGTGTGTATGTACATTCGTGTGTGTATACATGTATACAGTATACATATACATGTAATGTATTAACTACATATATGTGTGAAATATATATATATATGTGTGTGTGTGTGTGTATATATATATACACATACAGACATGCACGTGTGCATATATAAGTATTTCTTGTTGTGTGCCGGGAGATTCGGCGAGAGAGCTGAGGACTTCTTGTCCCAGGAAGCCGAAGTCTTACCGCCGCCGTCCTCGGCCTTGCTTGGCCTCGTGTCTGAGATTTCAGTTTGAATCCCTTGTGATGCAGATTCACGTCATGAAAGCTCAGGGTTCTTCCAAACTTCATCTTAGCAGCTTGGCAAAGCAAGTTTATCACGCGCACACACACAGAGACGCGCACACACACACACACACACACACGCACACGGACACCGTGAATCTTGATTGGCTGACGTTTCGGGGTAGACTTTGCCAGGTAGCTGCAGACCACTTTGAAATGTCTGTCGCAATCTCAGCAGACCCAGCGCGCATTGGACATTCCCTACAAACTCCAGACGCAGGTTCTGGAAATGGGCTTCCACATTCGTCAGCACTTGCGGGTAAATCTCTTTCGCCGGGACCCAAGAACAAAACTGGAATATACAATTGCTGCGCTCTCACTACATATTGTGTGCCCTCAGTGACGAGGCAAGTACTTGAACTATACTCGTGAGTCCAGGCAGCGGGTTGTTTTATGCGGTGAAAGGTGCCGCACAAAGGGTTTTGAGCAAAATCGCTTCACGGTGTCGAAGGCTGCGAGTTCCGATTCAAGATCTCAAAACGAGCATGATGGAGGACTGGCCCCAATGCAGTCCGTGTGTCCCTTCGGTTCTCGGGAAATGCTTGGTGGCAGACGAGGACATACCGACTCTAGCTAGAGACGGCTACCTCATCACATTCGAGATCTTGAAGAAGGTCATGAAGGCTCATTCGGAGGTTTCAGAGGAAAGCTTGAATCCACAACTGTCAGTGTAGCTCTGTCTGCGTCTCGTTTTCCAAGTTGGTTGTTGACAGGTCTGTGTTGTGGGCTACTGGCTGCTGAAGAAGCACCCACGCTCTGGCATTCCGCTGGCAGTCTACCCGACGCTCATGTGACTTGGCATGTAATCGAACTGCAAGTGCCAGTTTCGTTCTTCCCGGACTCTGAGGCTGCTGTGGCTCGGCTCACGCTACAAGCGAAGGCCAAAGAGATGGCTTCCCTTGTCGTAGAACGCCCTAGTCATTCCTTCATGTGCAGTTGAAAAAAAGGTGCACTTTGAGAGTTTTGCAGCTCACTCAGTGAAGGCTGTGGCTTCTCAAGAAGACCGGAGACGGAGGCAGTGATACACAAGGCGCCAAGCATCTGAGAATCACCCGATCGCAGTTGCAAGCTGCAATCGCATGTGCCATCAGCTAGAGGACGAGGCTAGGAGCTCCTGCCATTTGTCGAAGAAGTGCCAGAGTAGGCTTTTTCAAAGTACTCTTCCCTTATCACTACTTTCACGATTCTGGCAGATCAAGGTTGGCTGCTGCATGCAGATGCTTCATACGAGCCATGGCCGCCAGCTTTGTGCAGATCAAGACAGCATCACCGGAAAGACAAAGCCTGTGCAACATATCAGATTTAGAGATAGATAAGCTTCGAATCTCAGGATCTGGTGAACGACTATGGAAATCGATTCTTGCTGCAAGCAATGTCATCGTGGACATGAGCTTGCCTATCCCACTGTTGACCCTGGCCCAGGAAATGCAATTGTGGGAAAATTCCAGCAGGTTCTGCAAGATCAGCGCAAACTGGTCATGGCGTTGAAGTCCTTTTCCTTCTGGACACTCGAGCTGCAGCGTTGCATAGCAGAGTGGGCACCAGAGGGCAGTAACGTACAGTAATGGCTCGGTACCACTCTGGCTATAAACGTGTTCGAGAACCATTGCTTTCTGCAGCCGCTGTCCCACCGCACTGGCAATTTGAGGAGCGGGATAGTAATTCCATGGATCACCATCATCGCAACCGGCTTCTACATCGCTGCGGCAGGAAAGCTCGTGACTGAAGGCCGCTCTCACGTTTCAGCTGCCTCTGACATAGTGGGTTCTTGATGCTTCTGTATCAAAGCCTCGAGCTATCTGTCAGCAGCCTGGCCCATAGCCATAGCATGCTCTTGCCAGACTTCCCGAGGTGAACTGTCCATGGGATCTTTCTTGGCAACGATCACGTTGTACAAAGATGCATGTCCGCACGTTGGCAAGATACATATATGGGGCTATTCTCCCGTTCTGGTGGCACATGCTTCTGGTCCTTGCTTGGGTGGGTGATACTTGTCGGTCGTGGCTTACTCGCCGTGCCAAGAGCGAATGCTTCTGCCGAGGATCTGGGCGACCGATTCGACGGGAGACTTAGCAGAATGTGGGCCTTGCCAGGCTTCACAAGGGGGCTTGGAAGTTGTTCAATGACCTTTGGTACACCATTCCGGGTTTCTCATAACCCTTGTCCATGGCTTGTTTTGGAATATCGTTTTGGTGGCTGTGGATGTCTTGCCCCGGCTGAATCTGCAACACGAATCTATTGGCCGTCTAATGCCGGCTACTGCGGGAAAGTTGCATCGGGTGGTGAGAAGTCACATCGATCCAGTGTGCCCCTGGGTCTTATTCGGCAAGCATTGATGCAGAATGCGTGAGTCCATGCGTCTATGTTTTTTGTTGCAGCCATGACACTTCTTGTTCTTGTTGTTGCTGTTGCTTCATGTTCAATCATTGCGTTGGGTCATGATTGCAAGTTGCGCAAGAGCTCGTAGACCCTGATTGTGGGTGGAATCGTGAAAGAGGACTCATGTTCCAAGCCCTTCGTTCGGCCGTTGGCGGACAGCGTCCTCCTCATGCAGAGGCTAAGCCTTGGCATCTCTGCCAGAAATCTTTCGTTTTTCCTACCTCACGCGCGCTCCCACGAAGCACCCCCACATGGCCCCTTCAACAGGCGGCTTCCCAAGTCTGGAGAACTCTTCACATGCATCTCGCAAGGCTGCGTTGGCAGCAGAGCCACTGTTCCACAGCCGATGCTTTTTCCATACACCCACGCGGATTGCCACTCCACCCTCGTGCGGCTCGACTTGCGACAAAACACACACTTAGATTGCCATGCTATGCGCTTCAAGTCATGTGCACACAGGGTTTAGCCTCGCATGCAGCCTATGTGCCCAAAATGCCCGAATACCTGCGGCACAAAGACATTGCTGATTTCGTTGCATGTTGAAGTGCACGCTGTTTCGCTATTGTTGATGTGGTTAAACACGGGGAGATGTGACTAGTCGTGGATCGGGGCCTGAAGGTGGGGATGTTGTGAATGCGCGCGAACCTGATGGAACCTGACCCGACCGCTTGTAGATCTTACGGGCAAATCTGGACGCCTTCGCCGTCAGCTGTGCTGGTTTCGACAAACAGAAATCAGCATTTAGACATTAGAATCAGATTCTTGGTCGCAAGCGAGGCACGCTTAGGCATTGTTGGAACGAGATGACAAATCAAATGAGAAGTCACATGATGCGCAGCATCTTTTGCGCACTTCTTATTGGTCTTTACCCCTAAAAGCAAGTCTTCTCTTCAGAGCTGATGCTGCTGCAGTGCCTGAGATCAGAGACAAGGGCCCTGTTGACCTGATTATCCGCATAAGGATCTATGCCGACTTTGAGGCCTTGTCTGAAGTCATAGATCCATTGTCGGCAGCTTGTGCTGCACTTTGAGCTTTGTTTGCCACACGTCACGTCACTTGTAGCACAGAATCCTGCCTCAGCTGAGGTCCTCACTGTGCAGTTCAACCTCGAAACAGATCTGCCGCAGCGCATGGAAGCGCACGAAGCACACGAGCAGAGACTCGGTAGCACTCAGCCGGGCCGGGCACGATTGCTGCTTTCCACTAGTTCGGGCTTTATGTTCAAGGTACTGTTCTAGCAAGCCTGTGCACTCCAAGAGTGCTTTTTATGAACTTGGATATTTCTGTGGTTTCTTGGCCTGCGGCCACGATTGCACGCCCGTTCCGGGCCCGAGGTACCTTGCACGACGCTTGTCCGAATTTCCACCTACTTCTGCCTCTTTGTCGGAAAGCGCTTACGAGACTCTTCGGCAATAGTCAGCGTTCAATTTTGCTTGCGAGCTGTGCTGGCATCCTCGTGCACGTAGCAGGGCCTTGTGACCTGGTAAGGACACAGTGCCCATCTTCCTCACAGATGCTGCCAGCTCAGCAGTGGATGTGATCAGAATGGGAGTCTGCATAATTAGCTGCCCTTCACGTTCAGATTTCAGGTGGTGATCCGCAAAACAGAGCCGCCAACACCTGGACTCCTGGATCCGCACAGGCTGCGGTGACAAGGGGTGCGCACCTGCGGGGCAGAATCTGCTCTATGCCAATCTCAGAAGAATCTGTCGAAGATCGAGGGAGAAGCAAGGCCACCCACTGCACGCATGTCTGCAGAGGCCAGACGGTGACCTTGCAGAGTACCCGACGGCTCCAAGCGCCATGGCTGCAAGCAGCATCGCTACTGTGAGCCAAGAGAGGCCGAGCTCCGAGCTCAGGACTCAGCGAGCCTTTGTCAGCCTGTCTGGAGCAAGGCAGCCGGGGGGCTCAGAGGCTTGGAGACGAAAGCGAAAGAGTAGAGTCGGCTTTGGCTTTGCGTCGTTTTGTCCAAAGCTGAGGTTTGATCTGCTTGACGGGGCCGGCCTCCTCTGGAAAGGCCAGCCTCCTCTCCCTGATCACCAAGGATTGCCCCTTGGCCTCAGCGCAGTTTAGGGCAGTTTAGGGTTGAGGGTTTAGGGGACCGGGCATTCGAAGTTTTGGAGCTCTTCTTTCTTGGAGCCTGCTTGAGCTTCAGGTCTTCCGGCATCGGGCGAGATCGGAATACCTCCTCATTTACGAATTGTCCGTGTTTCCCGCGAGCCTTCCTTCGTGAAGTCCATGGGCCTGCACGAGCCCCAGATGCCAAATCCGATGTGCTTCTGGCATGATCCTCCCTTGGGCAAGGGCTCTCAATCTTCGATCTGACCCAAACCATGCTCAGTTGTCCTTACAATGTGTGAGGAATTGAAAGCAAACGCTGGCTCTGCCTTGCAATCTGAGGGTCGTTTGAGCACCTGACTCTCAGCCGAGGTATGCCAACTTGGTGCCACAGCCTCATGGGGTCTGTAGTGCTCTGCAAGCGGTCGCGAATAGACCCCAAAGCATGTCGATCCTTGGACGAGGTTCGGCGTCCTGTCGTCGGAATTCGGTCACACCTATACAAACCATGAGCGGGTGCTTGGCTTAGTTACTTAAGTTGCTTTTCTGAAGTTGGGAACCCAGTTTTCGGCGAACTCGCTTACGAGATCAGGTCGGCAACATTCTGCAGCGCCTCTCCCTGCATCATTCCTGGATCTACCATGCAGTGATGCAGGCAAACTCGAAACGTATCGAAGTGCGGCTACTTGACCAGACTTTCATGTATGAATATGTTCCTGACTGGCGTAGCTCGACCTGCAGGACTCTCTCCGGGAGGAGGAGGAGCTGAGCCTTGCCCTCTCGGGTTTTCACACCAGGGTACCGGGCTCTGAGCCGCAGTTCATCGCGGCCTGTGCCCAGGTCCGGAGCACCAGGAGCACGCGGACGAGGAGGACATCTTCCAGGCCTGGACGGCCGCATGTCTTGCCAGCCGTCCAGCCGTCCAGCCGTCGGCCGAGCCCCGTCTATAGGAGATGGAAAGATGCATGAGGGAGCACGAGGAGCAAGTCACGGCACCGCTCTCATGATGTGTTGTGAACGCAGTCTCGCCGCGGCTCAGCCTCCGGCCTTCAAGGCTCAGGCTTCAACTCTTGAGCTCTCGGAGGTCGAATCCGAGCAGGCTGGAGACGAGAGGTGATCCGGTCCCTGGTCCCTCTTCTGCCGACACTGACCCTATGGCCCTGTCTGAGGACCACCTTCGGCACTGGTATGACTGCATGAGCCGGAGCGAAGCCAAGCGTCTCCACCTCGCGAGAGCCTTCATTGCCAGCCCAGAGGTGGCTACACAGTTTCAGCACAACTGACACTGACACACTAAACATATTGGGGAGAATATTTTTCCCAACATATTGGGGAACATATATATCGTAATATATGTAGTTACAAGTCTCCGGTGTTGGCAAGCCCTGCATCCACTCCCTGCAGGTGCTGATCATGCACGCGCCTTTCGACGATCTGGATGAGGGACTGGCGCAGGATGGTGACTCTGTAAACAATGTCTTCACAGCTTTTGCAAGATCTTGACTTCAGTCATTAGAACTCGGACCCCGGAATCGAAAGTTACAAGCTGGGTAACCGGAGGATGTGCTAAAGCTGATGAGGGACTTCGTGGACGAGCGAGGCACGGCTTGGTCCAGACTTCGCTGCTGCCCGGCCATGAGCAAGTGTTTAAGGACAGAGTCGTTCTTTCTGTCTTGGTGTCTCGTTGGTGTTGGGAACAGCAGGCGTTGCCCTGGACCCTGCCACCAAGCACTGCCGCCGGAAACGGAGCGTGTCTTTTGGATGCAAGCTCGTATCACTGGAAGTAGAGGGGAGGAAACAGAAGCGTCCCAGAGTTTCCAGCTTCGATCGTCCTTCTGCAGAAGATTCAGAAGATGGTACGGCCGCAGTTTGTCATTCTGAGGTTCTTCTCTGCGAAGGATACCGCGATGTGACTTGGTTGCAGACGAAGCCCTGTGTCGTTTCGTGAAGAAAGGCGTCATTCGCATCGTGTAGCGCGGAGTGGCTGTATACGTTTGACAACAGGCGCCCGCGAACGAACATGCGTAGGCGTAGCAACCGATGAGATAGGGCTGAAGCATCTCTGTTCCTCCAAGTCCTGGTCATACGTCCTAGATGTGAAAGTGCTGGCTGGCACTGACTGCGTCCACTCCGCAACAGCCAGCAAGCCAACATGTCAATAGCCACGAATGCGGAACAGAACTCAAAGCATGACCAACTGCTGACAAAAGCTGCGCAAAATGTGTGACGGAATGTCGAACGAGTTTTGTAGTTATGGCGTACCCTTTAACTCGCTCTCCGGCTGCTGTTCTGGCGCGGAGGTGCAGGCAAATGGCGGATTTCACGTGCACGCTAGGCAGGCTGTCATCAACCTGGTCCGACCAAAGACTCGGAAAGGGTGCACCTCGGCAGGTCACGACACCGTTTCCCTCAAGCTAGAACCCAAGCATGGCGAGTCAGATGGCGGCAGCCACAGACTTTATGGTCTTCTGGCCTTTCGCTACTTGCGCACACTATTTCTGTCAGTTGCACTCTGCAGGCCCCGGTTGGCTTTGGACATGCGGCCAGGGTGGCTGAGAGATCGACGGAAGTCGCCCGACATCTATCTACGCGAGTTGAATCATTCATTCACCTCATTCTGACTTAACGATTCCTGCATATACCGATTAATCTGCCAGCATGGAACCTACAGGCCCGCAACACGGCTTTGCACCTTGAGATGTTAAGACCGCTACCTGGCATGCCGTGCTAGAAGTCCAGCTGTTTCACGAAAGGGCTCGATCCACGTGTCCGAGAAAAGGTCAAAACCAAACTTGCGTGAGCTTGCGGCAAAACGTGCGGAATGTCGATGCTGACATTGTCACCGTGAGCACGTGGCTGCTGCAGTAAGGCTCAATCCGCCATGGCAGTGTTGGCAGGAGCCAGCTGAGGTGGAGGATTCGTGGGAAACAGCCATGGCGTCGAAGCGGACGCATCAGCCATGGGAGGAGAAGCGACAGCAGACAGAAAGGCTCGTGAACCGATGCATTGAGGCACGGCGGGAGACGGGCACCGCCAATGCCACGCCGGAGCCGCCGGAGCCTGGTGCGGCTGGTGCAAGCAGTGCAACCGCCGGAGAGGCCGAGGCCGAGACGCTCGATCAGACCCAGCCAACCAAGGCTGAAATGGCTTACACCTTCGAAGCTCGGAGGCAGTTCTTGCAGGTCATGGCCAAGCAACAGCGAGCTTCAGACGAACGGAAGTTCTTTGCAAAGAGGGGTCTGGGCGTGCCAAGTTGTCGCGTCGGTCCCACTTCTTTGAGCGCCCCGAATGGGCTCCGAGGCCATTTTCACAACAGTGTTGGGGTGAAGTCGGCCTACGGCAGCCACCGCTGGCCACAGTCTTTGAACGTCAAGTGGGACGGCTCACATATCGACCACACCAGGGCAGAGGAGCTGAAGCCAAACCCGAAGATGTCGAAGATGAATGCTGCGACACGTGCGAATCAGTTCAGTTGCTATTTCGGTTCTTACGATGGCTTTGATGCCAAGCGTGCCGCTGTAGAGCAGAACAGGGATGCGAGCCCCTACAAGGATCCCACCAATCCTGAATTCCGGGAAGACATTCCGCAGCGTCACGGCAAGTTCGGCCGCCGAGCCTTCAACACGCAAGTGGGGTTCCGCCATTATGAGAATCCACATGGTATCAGTGAAATTGACAACAAGCCAATGGAAGACTTCCTGCGCGAGCAGGACCGAGTTGAGGAGTTTCTGGATCGATCTTTGCCTCCACGCCAGACCCAGCACTTCAAGCAGTACATGCCCAGGGCTGAGGCGCCTCAAAAATTCGAGGATATGAGCTCCCGACAACGGATGAACACCTGCATCGACGGTGGCCAGAAGACGAGCAAATTGGGATACGGTCAGATGCGCTTCTCCGACGACAAGGACTTCAAACTTTTTGCACGACCATTAAACACTAGTCAGATGGATCGGGCTGTTCCGATGTCGTGATTGCACGGTTGCACCTGGAGTCCTGGATGGGGGCTGCCAAGCAGCGCTTCCAGAAAGATTACTCTGTCCGCACCGTCTCACCCAACATAAGACCGCCTGCCAAAATGGCAGAGTGCTGCCGAGTGCTGCCTTAGAAAAAGCAGATCTGATGAGGTCTGTCTGGCCGGGTTTTCAAGCTTCAGCTGTGATCAGCTGTGCCATGTTGGCTGACCCTGAATTGTCGAGACATCTCACATGTTTGCATAGCTGCTTGCTTGCAGTATCAGGTTGTAGTCGGCCGGCCTGCGAAGAACGCGCCGGTTGTAGTGCGGCCAAGAATTGTGGAAGCTCCGTTTATCATCGCTTCGAGACAGTGTAAAATTCAACAACAACCAGCTCAGCTCAGAGTCATAAACCCCTTGCCTTGATGTTCCGGTCATCATAGTGTTTCACTTGCTTTGGTTGCCGGGCAAAGACCGGCAGATGCATGGCAGATCTTTGCCATGGCTCCGGGTTGCTCGTTAGTGATATAGCCCTCGAGTTTGGACACGATGCGTTCGAGGAGAGCCTCTACGCAATTGTGTTTCATCCAGCCTCTAGCATCTGCAGGACAATGACGTGGGCATAAGGCTACGCTTGACTCATGCTGCCAGTTCTTGTTCTTTCGCGAGCAGAACTTGCTAGCCTGCGGACCGACTGCACTTTCGGGGCAAGGTTCACGCCCTCCGTCGCAGCTTTGCTGCGAGAGACGGTGGAGAAGCTTCAGAACTGTCAGCCTGGCGGTGCTCTCCTTTTGGAAGGCAAGGCATGGGATTGGCTTCTCTCGGGCTATTCTGCGCGTGGCTCAGGTCATACACCAGGTCTCCCAGCGGATAACAACCCCATGCGCTGCAGCATTGGTGAGGAGCCGGGCGTGTGAAGAATCGAGTGTCAAAGAAGGATCACCAGATAAGTGCAGCCGGCGCATGCACAATACTTAGTTTTGTCAACCTCTCTCTCGCTCTCTCCCTCCCTCTCTCTCTTTCTCTCTTTCTCTCTCTCTCTCTCTGACTCTCTCTCCCTCTCTCTCTCTCTCTCTCTCTGTCGTAGCGTCGCTTCTGCGACACGCGTCAAACGACGGGCTAGATCAAGAATGCGTGGCAGCGACCGATTTCCAGAGACTCTGAGACTCGGCGCGGGCTCGGCAAGTGATGCCTTCACTAGATTTCACTAGTGCGGTTGGAGGGAGTTGAGACAACCACTCGCACAGTTTTTTTTTCTGCATGAGGAGGCTGCGACTCTGACCCTCGGCAGACATCTAATCATAGATTCAAAACAGGGCCTACACTGCACATGATGCATCATCAATCGAGGTTGCGCGATCACCTGGAGCGGGAGGGCGTGCGACGTCCCATTCGCTGTATTGGCTGTGGAAGTGCAGAGGGCCTCGGGCTCCGTGTGCGCGTACGCCTGGAGGTGCATGGCCGAGACACGTGACATAGAATTAGAAGTTTTTGCGGCGACAATCGGTTTGAGCTTCGGCTCCAGGGAGCGGAAACCCCAGACACACAAGCTCCTCCGACGCCGGCAAATCCGACGAGTTCAATTCAGGACGCTTATGCAGTCTCTCTTTCAACATTTGGAGCATGACACTGCGTGATGATGGCTCTGAACGCATGCATCATGCAGTAGACTCGGTAGACAGGATACTCTCCGGCAGCTGCGCCATCAAATCCACCAGTTATCCTGCACGATACTCAGCATTCGTCCATTTCTTGGGTTTCGGGATCTGGGAAGTGTCAACGCTGCAGCCCATTCAGGTGCGATGCCATTGACATTCAAATCGAATTCGTCAGATCTGTCACAAGAAGGGACCTGCTTTGTGCTCAAAACCGCTCCTTGGCCAGCTCAAGACTGCTGAATGCCCGGTGTCTCCATCTTGAAGTTCCGAAGAGCAGTGGGTTCGACCGCAAGGCCAAGCTCGCTCGTTCACATCCCGAGCTGACCATCCAGTGCTCAGGCCCGAAGACAGCATGGGGACCTAAATCGGTTCGGAGCTAGATGCTTATTACCTGTTAGCGCAGGCTTTGCCAAGGGACTTCCGGAGGAAGACAACCAAGCAAAGCGCGAGCTCTCAAAGCTGCGAGCAGATGCGGTGGCGAAGACGCTGCAGAAGCATGGTGCCGGGTCCTCAAGTTTCCCGTGGATGACGGTGGCTGGATGCTGCCAGCTTCGGCATTGCAGCAGGGTGAGGACTCTGATCATGTTCTCAGCCGAGACTCGAAGCTCCAGTCGCAGATCCCCTCCTTTGCATCAAGCAGCCTTACCTTACGTGCTCTCAGCGTGCGGGCTTGAAGCCGCGGCGTGTTGCACGACCTGATAAGGTCCGCAACAAGATTCTCAGCTACGGTTTCGGTTCGGCGCTGGGCTCCGGGCTTTGTGCCAGTGTAGACTTCCTTGCACCCCACGAAGACGAAGATGCAGAAGGAAACGAGTTTCGATACTTTGCGGCAGCCTGTCGCTGAACTGTGCATGAAAGCGCAGCTTCTAGGCGAAAGAGCGATCTACTAGTAAGACTGATCTAAGGGTCTATCCCAAACTACGAGCTCGTCTCCGAAGAGCAGGAAGGTTCGGTAGTGGACGCCCTGCTGAAGGAGCCACCTGCCCAAAGCATGGAGATCTACGATTTGTGATCCAAAGAAGAGGGAGCTGTGACCGGCGGCTGGCAGGAGCTTTTGCTGCAATGCTCCTTCGAGCCAAACGGTGTAAGGTGCCTTTGCATGCAGGGTGAAGGAGGTGCGGAGAGGGAGAAGATTTGTGCGAGAGAGAGAGAGAGGGGGAGCGGCGTGACTTGCATGTTTTGGGAATACTCTGAAGCGTCTTGAACTTGTTGACTCTCGCGGTGCTCCTGTGTCTTTGATCCCACGACCTCCGACTGATCCAAGGGGAGAAGCGTAGATAGACGCCGAACCCCAGCAACTGTTTAACTGCAAAGGAGTCTGTACCAAAAGAGAGGGAGAGGGAGAGGATAACTGGTTGAGTGCCACAGAATGTCTGAGGATCTCGGCTTCCCCGTTGCTACGCATGGTTGCGCTGGTCCTGAAGTCATTCCCTTCCTGGATTATCAGGCCGCTGAATTGCGCTGAACGAGAATCCTCGGACCATCGATTCCGCTAACAGGTGCGAAGGTCATGCAAAGGGCTTGCCGAAGGAGAATTCCTTAGAGAAGAAGCAGCTGCCACTTGGCCAAACCAAGCAGCTGCCAGCTGCCAGCCAAAGCCAGGTCTGAACATGATGCGTCATCTTGACTGAGGTCCTTGGCACGATCGGAGAATGTTCGGAAAGCTCTGCAGGACCCCCGTGCAGACGCACTGCAAGTATGTCGTCCTGTCATGGACTGCCAAGCTTTCCCGAGGAACTTGGGGTGCGCAACCCGATTCACTGCTTCGGCTATGGCTCTGAGATGGGCATAGGGAAAGCCGTCCGGATGTATGCTCTGGAACGACAAGGCATTCACAACAGTCCCGTCTACAGTTCGACGATGGCCTTGTTTCTTTGCCGTCTTAGCTATGCTGTGTCTTCAGGTGCACTTCGTATTCCGGAGCTCACAGACATGACTGCAGACGA